GATGAGCTCGAAAGAGTGAGTCTGTGACTCTGATCTGGACAATGGGCACGCGGGTAGGCGCTAGAACAGAAAGGGGAGTTATCTCTATGTTCGTATTAGATAGGAAGCATGATTGTGCTGCATTGCGAGCTACAATCATAACACGGTATAGTAGGTGGTTCACATAGGGTATATTCCAACTAGACAAATAAGAATAGGGTTGTATCTAGTATCCGTCATGAAAAAAACAAGGTTATGCAACGTGACTGAAAATAATCGCTAAAATACTAGTTTATATTTCCTTCCCCACTCTATCCAAAGACGATGGTTCTCACTTCAATGCTTTCCCGTCCCTTGGCATCAGGAGCCGTGCGAGGGTCGACAAAGGCAGTGTGAGGCACACGTTCCGCCATGCCCTCCTCGGTGTCCGAACATTTCAGAAGCAGTCTCTCATCATCATCCACTCCGGAAAGATACTTCCACTCTGCATTTGGATTGTGTCGCACGCCCATAATCTCGCCACTAAAATGAGGATAGCGATGCTCAATCTTGGCGAAGTCCGTGTCGCCCAAAGTCGCAGCGCTGGCAAAAGCGAGGGGGAACGATTCAACCGCGCCATTTATCGGCCTCCAGACGTTGATAATACGATACCGTCCGCGGAGCAGCTTTTCCGCTTCTTCGGGATCAGTAACGTGTCGACGGACTCGCTGCGCTGCGGACCATCTGGTTTGGTCCCCATGGGCTTGCCGGACAGGTTGACGTGACGCCTTGGGATCCGCTCGTCGGATGGTGTGATCAAAGATAATGATTTTATGTGCTCCGGGAACCTTGTCGAGGAGTAGCTTTTCTACCTCGGGGTAATATAACTGTTTGATGGCATCCTCGGAATTGAACGTCTCGTATGTGGTTTGCGAAGGGATATCTTGTAAAACTTGAAATGCGTCGTGGTCTAAAGTGAACTGATCTTCTTGACCTCGGATATCGGTAATATGAACTTTATGTAAGGCTTCGCTGTAGTTGCGCTGCGGCTGACCCTCCGGTGGCTCCTCCACGTAGTTGAAAGGTGCAGAGCCGTCCACGGGGTCTTTATAAAAGACTATCTCAGCCTCGACTGGCCCGCGTGGTACTCGTGGGTTGTTTGCTTGCGCAGGCATATTGGGACTGTTTTGCTATGCCACTAATGTGAAGTATGAAGAGCAGATGGTTAGTCTAGCGATATGACTGAATTAACTAAATTTGGGACATTTGATATCAATATAAATACGAGGAGCTGGTGCCTATTCTAGAAAGGACTGTTATAGCATTACTAAGTCCATCAAGCCATCCGACGTCATACAACCAATGGAGGCCGACGGCGATTGCGCCATGTCGGTGTGATTACTAAAAAGTCTCCGCAGCCCGGCGACTCAAGATATTATAGCCCTACCATTCGAAAACGGGAGCAAGACATCCATGACTTTGCGATCCCCCACCTGCGCTCGAGTATAATGGCTAAGATGTGCTACGGCAGATGACAGTGCTGAAGACCCTAAGGAATATGAAGGTGAAGTCTTCCCAGAGGCAGCTTCTTTTTGAACGCCATTTGTCAAAGCAACCACAAAAATATCTAGGATACCGCCGAGTGTCCCACCCATTTTTGCTCTCGATTATATCTTCAAACTCATGAAGAATAGTCAATACAGAGCTACAAGAAGCTAGTTCTGGGGTGTTCGAGAACGCTGAGAAGATGGACTGCACCCGTTCAGTTTCTTGTTTGTGGACGCTTGGTAATGAGTCTCTTTCCTATATAACGTCGAGATAGTATTAAATCAGCTATTGTTCACTGGCTATAGCATTGGCCAGTTGCTGAGGTATTGGTCACGTGAATTATGCCACCAGTCCCAGCTTCTCTTCCCAGTTTGACCGCTGGCCATATCAACCGCGCGAGGAAGTTTCCGGCAGCCTCTGTGGAAATCATGTCCGGAAGAGCCAGGTTGTAAGCATGACAATTACACACGCCGGCCCGCTTTTCTGCAGCGAAGGTAGACTAGGTCGAAGTGTTTCCGGTTTGTAGTACCACGGCAGAACAAGCCCTTTGGGTAGCTGAGAAGAGAGTAAATAGGCTTCGCAATAGGTTTATTTATACAATATGAATATGATAAAAGATGAAGTTGGCTGAATTCCTTGGTTAGATGATCATGTTACTATGGTTCTATCAACATGACTGTGGAAGAGAAATCACTTAGGAAAGAATAACAGCACTGGGCCTAACTAGGCAGCGTTAATAGAATATAATATCATAAATTGTGTAACGGTGTTAGTATTACTATACTCAAAACACACGTTCTACTTAAGAACCTGGACGCGATTACAGGTTATCTATTTATCATAGTGCAAGTCCTTGCCAGAGCCCCCAGTGGAACAATATGACGCTCAGAGCGATTGCGTGGGTTTCCCACAGAATCTGGACCCTCTTTCTAAAGGGAAAATTGCATTGCCAGTTACTATATAAGAGTCCATTCGAACCGAATGGAAGCCACGCGCAAGCCCAGGGAAAGGTGGTATGGAAATGGATACGGATCTACGCCAGTCACTCGTCGCGCAATTGAGTGGTTATGGCTATACGCAGAACAAGTTCGGACGTGGATAATATAACTCTTTTTTCTCTAGATTTGTTAACATCACTATAACGTGGCAACCGAGCCTCCCGTTGACTCGTGCTGTCCTTTATCTGCTGACTGCGACAATTTCGGCGATGGATGGCCACCATTTGACTTTTGGCCCTGCACCACGCACCCTACAGTTAAAACTCAGGAAGAGACAGGTTCGTCTCTCCAGACGATACAGAGTCAAGAAATGATGACCGGGTATATGCCTCATGTGAAGAGGCATTCAGTGAGTCGCATTACCAGGAGACATCTATTTTCCCAGCAAAGTCGAACTGGCGACAGAATTTGGAAGCGGGAAATTCTCCAGGGGAGCTCCAAATAGGGCATACTTCCCCAGCGATTGCTCAGCCAGACCTTGTCATGGATTGTGGGAGTCCACAGATCACATCTGAAGAGCCATGTTTTACAAGTGAGCACTACAGCGTTCTCTCTCTCCTAGTATCCCAGAAATATCATTTTCAGTGGACTGACTTCTTAATTATAGATGTTTCACCCGAGGGTTCAATTTGAAGCTCTAATCCAGTCGCAACTCGTAAGCGAGGGCCTCGAGGACTCCGATGGTTGAGAATGGTTGCTGATGCACCTCCGCACGCTCCAGAAGAAGGAAACTCCGAAAACGACGTGTCCAGTACAGATAGGTACCAAACAAGCACTCTGTAAGTTGTGTAGGAGGATGGAAAAGGCGGCTTGGTTGGATGTTCCGATACCTTCCCAAAGTCACGACTTGCTCACCGGACGCGCCCTCTGAGCTCGGCTGAGAGAGCAAATGCCGGCTTGCGGAGGAAGCGCAAAGTCAATATATCACCCGCGTGCCATTAAAGCGAATACTGATTTAATTTCAAGTGCGATGGGGGATCACCTTGCCATTCGTGTCGCATCTTACACCAGAAACAATCATGCGTTCGCACAAGTCTTTCCAGTATCGTAAAATCTGGACCGTACAACTACTTTTGTATGTCGAATACTCTCAATTATTTGCCGCGGTGCCTTCTATGCTTTACTAACTAAACGCAGCAAAAGGAGCTTGCGTTCAGTCAGCGTTGGACGGGTCGACTTGGATCAACTTCTGCACCTCCTGGGTGAACCTCGCGGTAGGTTGAACATCTGTGCAAGCCTTGCTTGTGATTCCAGCTATCTTTTCGACCTTGATGAGATATATAGGTTCTTCAGAAACATAGGCGCTGTCAGAATTTATGCAGACTCAACGCTTCTGGAGTTCATAGAACATTCTTCTTTACACCAAATGCACACACATGGGAAACGGATACCATAAATCAAGCCCTATGATCCGACGGGCAAGATTTACGTGAGTTGGAAGCTGCATTAGTGGCGTTTTCATTTGCGCGCTTGAGACAATGTTTCACCAGAACTTTCTTGGTCATTGGAGTAGGATGCAAAGGAGGGCTACATATAGCAGGGTCCCTACAGCCGGAAAGGATAAAAAAAGACCAAGGGATATCAAAAATAACGATGACGATAATATCTTACTTGCTGGTCTCTTATCGCGTATTTTCTGCCCAATTTCCGAACTGGAATTTTCGAACTGGAGGGATTTCGCAAGCTCTAAAGACAAGTTTATACGACAAAGCGGAAACAAATTTCTCAAGAAATGCATATACGGTTTCTTGATGATTTGGGTTATGTGTTGGTGAGATTCCGCCGGCAGGTTTGCGAATGGACATGTGTTGGACTAGCTGGGCAATTGTCCGGCCCAGATCAATGAATGCCACAGCCAGAAGTGCGTCGAGCAGCTCTACCAGACTGGATTCATCTATTACTTTTGTGTTTTGCAGGAAATCCCTCCTTGGTCTATTGCAACAATTTCTAGGGGAACATGGTCTAAGCGATCTGACTCCAATGGGCGTGTGTGGGACGGCTTTTCCAAGGACACTTCGAATTCTGGCTGCCAGACTTGGATGCACAGATGGGTTGTTGAACAGACCATGAGTGCAGTAAGCATAGATTTGGATCATGCTTAGACCAAGGCCGGATTAAACGAAGTACTGTGTCAGCCAAGTATCGAAAATATTAGTCACTACTGCCGGTCTATGCATTATGCTAGACCAAGCAGGCAAATGTGCGTATAGGTGAAAGCCCTACTCTGTACTAGGAGGACAGTGTACCTATTTTTTTAGCCCTGAAATGACATCATGCCCCCCCACCACTACCAGCACTAATGCACCACCAGTGGCACACCGTTCCGAGATTGCCCGTGTGTTGGAGAAGGGGAACAGCGGTTCGAATCATTTTCGTGGCCGGGTTGGTCTGTTCCGTCCGCTCGCGAGATCGGCACCGAGTGGGTCTCTCCGCAAGCCCATAACTGGGGTCGCTCTCTCCATTTTCCGCTGTCCAGGCAGAAATCCGGAGTACACTCGGACCACGTGCAGTCCCTGTGATGGGCCTTGGAGTGAGATTTCTGTTCGGTAGTCTTGGTGGCCGAGGTGTTCTTCCTGCCTATGGTAAAGTGTGTCTCCAGCTGTGCCGCCGTGCAAAACTAGGGCATTCTTCTTCTGGCCTGCGTCATGCCATTTGTTGCCGGCGCCTACTCAGAGTAGTTACGTTTCATTTCCTTGTCCGAGATCGCCATCCCACCGCGACCTTCAGTCCTCTGGTTGCATACAGTCTGTGGGCCATGGCCCACAAGTTGGTGGGTTTTCGGGTGTCCTGCAATGGGTAAACCCGGGCTGTTACTATGACGAGGGGCAGCACCATCGTCCGTGATAACTGTGATGTTTGTATCTTATAGGAAAATGCCTTCTCATTGAGGAATGTGCGGATTTCACGGCGGAGTCGCTCGGAGGCCTGCATCTGTAGAACGCATCGTTGGGGCAGCCAAGAGGGGCCTTTCCGCCTGCCTAACGCGATGATCCGTGATTAATCTCAGAATTCAGAGCATCGGTGCGGCAAAGAGCGATCTGCAGCACGATCCACACGCCGGGACCTCTTCTTGTGGAAATAGATCTGCGGCCGTTGTCAAATATATCATTCTCCGCTGCCCTTCAACGTCCTTCAACAACGGAGACTGTCCTTCCCCGTTCATACAATCTTACCGTCCCCTCCCTCTTTATACACCATGCCTCACGTTTCCAACGGCGTTTCTGTATCCGAAGCCAGGGCTCAGGATGCTTCTCTGCCTGCCGATGCCGAGGGGAACATTGTTGAGGTGCCCTCCACCCGCAGCGCTATCAGCGATGTGCAGATGCAGGCGCTCAGTCTGTCGCCGTCCATGAAGGACCGCCGGGCCTCGCGCAACTCGTTTGGCGTCTCCCTTCCAATCCCCAGATCTTCACGACCCTCACGACTTTCCTCTGTTACAACTGCCAGGGACCACGTGCGGGACATTGTGGCTTCCGAAGTGCAAGACAAGGCAGCGGAGAAAGTTAAGGCTGTCAAGAACATGGCGTTTTGCTTTGACATTGACGGTGTGCTGGCACACGGAAATATCGGTCTTCAGGAGGCTAAGGAGGCTCTCAGGATCTTAAATGGTGATAATGAGCTAGGTATTAATGACCCGCCTTGCGATTCAGACTCGGTACGTTGCTAACATCAGCCAGGCATCCAATTCCCCTATATCCTCCTCACCAACGGTGGCGGCAAGACCGAAGAAGCTCGCTGCGCACAGCTCTCGGATGTTCTGGGTCACCCTATCTCGACCAACCAGTTCATCCAGTCGCACACACCCATGCAGGCCTTGGCGGAGTATTACGAGAACGTCCTGGTCTGCGGTGGTGAGGGCTTTAACATTCGCAAGGTTGCAGAGAGCTATGGCTTCAAGAATGTAGTACACCCCAAGGACATTCTGGCATGGGACCCGACAATCTCGCTCTGCCGCAACTTCACCGAGGAAGAACGAGCACAGGCCAAGCCACGCGACTTCTCAGAGTTCAAGTTCGACGCCATTCTGGTGCTTGCCGAGTCGTACGACATGTCGACCGACTTCCAGATCATTCTGGACCTGCTGCTGAGTGCAAACGGCAAGCTCATGTCCTGGGCCAAGGACCCTGCCAGTAAAAATGCCATCGCTCGCCATATCCCAATCTACTTCTCGCAAGGCGATCTGCTCTCCCCAACAGAGCACAAGGGCGCGCCACGCCTTCACCTAGGTGCTTTCCGCGTTGCCCTGGAAGCGCAGTACAAAGCCCTCACCGGGCTTGACCTCGACCGTCTCGTCTATGGTAAGCCCGAGCGTGCTACCTACATCTGCGCCGATGAGGTGTTCAAGAACTGGATGGAGGAGATCCACAATGAGAGGCGTCTGCCAGAGAACATCTACATGATCGGTGATAACCCTCAGTCCGATATCATCGGCGGTAACCTCTATGGCTGGAACACATGCCTGGTCCGCACAGGAGTTTTCCGCGGCGAAGGCAACGACGCCAACAACCCAGCCAACTTTGGTGTGTTTGACCACGTCCTCGATGCCGTCAAGGCTGCCATCCGCAAGGAACTGGGCGAGGACTTCAAGTTCAAATGGGACCCCCAAAACCTCGCTCCTAACGGTGGCGGCTCAGCTGTCGAATGAAGCTGAGTTTAACGCGTCCTTCTGCCTGATTTCTTGCCATGTTGAATGTCGCATTGTTCCATTTAGATGCCACGATTTTCTATTTTGTTTGCATGTTTTATTGGTGACCGCTTAGCAGCTCAGAACACCACCATGCTTGATTTTTTTTTTTTTTTGTTTTCTTTCATTTATTGGGGACTAACTATGTTTTTGGTAACATGCCCATTTTGATAGAGGCTAGATTTTGTCACTTTGACATTGATAGAATTTACGGATACCCTTTATACATGAGCATAGATGTTGCTCACGTTATTCTATCCCAATGCAAGTTTGTGCAGATCTATATCATGTCCTTGCTAAGACACTCCCGTGCTAAGGCAAGTGGTCGATGCTTATTATATAACTGCCGCCGTGGCACGACTTGGTTAATCGGTCAATATCTGCTTATCAGAGCATTTGGCGATGATGCGACACGCGTAATCTAACCAGCCGGACGGCTGTTCCTTGAAAGCTAGTTGCTTGATTTTGATAGCTACAAATTTACGGAACAATTATCATGAATGTGTGTTTATCTGCTCTATTCTGGATACTGTTCTATAACCCGACGGAAAAAGAAAGAAACGATCGCGGCGCCTTGATTTTGACAGCCTGCAGCTGCAATTCTTAGGCCGTCCCAGTGCATCTAAACATATACATATATCTCTCCGCTGCTTCTTGCATGCTATTTGTTCCCAGCCTCAATTGCTGCTGTGATAGGAACTCGACGTGAAAATTGCTGCCTGGCAAAAGTGGCATATATGTCGTTGATATTGACTTTCACCACTCCTGCCCCGATGCACCGGTCATATATTTTCTTAGTAAAGGATCCGCGCCATGAAGGACGAGACGAACCCGCTCACCAACCGCAGCATGAACTCGCTCCAGTCTCTCGTACTCCAGCCTGATGCCGCGCGGTTCATATTCACCATGGCCGTCCCCAAAGGCAGGAGCCAGCATTTCAATCCCAGGCGCAACAAACTCCTCTGCTTGCTCTAGTGTTGTCAAGACACCCTCAAGATCAACAGCCTCTGCAGCGCCATCCTCCACCACCTTCAATCCTTCCGGTTCGGCCTCGGTTGCGACTCCGAGCGCGTGGCAGTACACCACAAGGTTCCTTTTGTCATTGATAGACTATCCTCCTTCTCGTAGTGGCTCATATCGCACATAATGCTGTCAACCCCGCCAGGGATACTAGCAGCCTGTCGCACTAGCTCAGGCGTTTGCGCATGGTCCAAATGCAAAATCATGGGTACAGTAGCGGAGTGGCAGAGGTCCGCCGCAGCACTCACCAGCGCGATACCGGCATAACCATCTTCCTCGCAATCACCCCCTTTTCAGCACATCCATCAGGAACATGTCCAGGACTGAATCCGGGGAAAATATCTTCGTCCACGGCTCTTCATAATTTAGAATCACCCTGATTCTATATTATATTATTAAGCTGAAAATATTCTGGGAGTGACTGGAGCTACAGTATCTCCTCGCTGAGCAATTGGTAAATAACCCAGAGTGAATACAGAGTACTTATGATGTTCCATTTGTGTACTAGTAGTTTCCAGTGGATAAACATATATGTCTGCATACATGCTGACACTTTCAAGATAAGGGGTTGCCATTGATATCAGGTATAATTGTTCCTATACATTGGCGTTGATGGGTAGGACAGACAAGCACCTATGCCTTCGGCACCTCAACACATTGGTCACCTCGTCGAGTGGAGAGTATACAACAATCTTTATCTGTATGGTTACAATTGTTAGTCACGTTCATTTCTTCTCTCCCATCCTGGACGTACTCACCTGAAGGGTCCAACTCTACAGATTCTCCTGGATTAAATAGTACATTTCTGTCGAACTTGTACTCAGTTGGGCCGTCCGGACGAATAATAGTAATTGCTTCAACGACTTCATGGATGGCCATTCGACAAGGGATCTCATGCCTACCAATTCTAGCTCGCTCCTCTCCGAGTATAATTATAGGGTTTGCAACAAAACGGGCACCGGGCATGGTGAAAATAGGGTTGGTACAAAGGTACGAAGAATGGAATTTTGTGAGTATAGAATAGTGATATTGATTCGCAAATCTACAGCTACCGATGATAGGCCCTGTTTATAACTAGTTATATCTGGGGAATGCGCTGCTAGGAGATCCATACTCCGCCTCGTAGGACCATTCTTTGTCCGTGCTTATCGGCAGTAATAACCGCGTTCTATCTTACCACAAGAGGTATTGTATGAGTCACTACCGAACTTAATTTACATTTAAATAGTGAGTTTCCGAGGATTTGTCCATCGAGTTCCGCTGTTGACAAGACGCATATTGACAGTTAGATAAACTATGCCCCAATGAGAAATGGACTTGGGCTCCACCGAGCCGAGTAAGGATCATGGATCAGTGGAAATGTAACCCCGATGTCGATGACTAACCACATGATTAAATCATTTTTGCAGTATATACAAATTAGGGCCTAGCGACAAAATATTGCCGTATGTAAGATCCGGGATATACTCAGTATGGTCTCTTGAGCGAACCCGAACGCATTCGTCAAGTTTCACCCTGGACTTCAGCTCACATCATGGAGCAGCTGCTGTTCACATCACCATCGTCCTTGTGAAGACAATACTCTAGTTCATACGTTTACAACTTCCTACAATGGATTTCTTCGGACACATTCCTAGAACTAGCCGATGAATAATTAGATCCAACCACCATCTCCCTATAGTTTCTTCATAGAGGTAATAGATATGTTTAGAGTGATCAAGCATCTGCAAATATTCCATAGCCTGTGTCATTCAATGGTCTATGGGTACGGTCTGAAAAACTAACATAAGTACCAAAATACTTGGGTAAGCCAGATAGTAGCCATGGGTTTCTGAAGTGGACATACTACTGTCACATGTCCGGAAGTAAATATATACTTGAATGGATGGACAATGCAACTGACACCCCCATGCGAAAGGCGGACTCACCTTCATTTTAGGTGTAATCTAAATATAATTGGTTCAAAATACATCTTTATTTGTGACATTTGGTATCTTGTTTGTCTGTCTCATCATGCATGTGAGTATACATACTAGACGGAGTGTTAGTAAATCCGAATCCGCATGCGGACATCAGGCCAGCGGGATCTCTGGTAATAACAGCAACAATGTCAGCTTAATTCCAACCATCAGCATGATAAAGACTGTCTCGCTAAGCTGGAGAAACTTAGTCCTACGAAAGCATTGGAATGGACACAGTCAATGTCATAACATACGCCCTTTTTCGCTGTTTTCTTTGGGCGGGAGACAGTCGCCCCACCCCCCAGATTTATACATTGAAACGGACAGTGGATCATGTGTGCAGCCATTCATCATCTCCCGTTCCAGGATCCGAATAATTGACAGGGCCAGATGAACGTATCCCTGAGGAAGACCTATATCGTTACACGAGGTGTCGATGGCTGTAAGAATGCACGCAGCATTTATTTTGGTTATGCAAGCTTGCTCATTAATCAAACTCTTAGGTACAATGAGGAAAGGGAGCTCAGCAAACGCTATGTGAAATTTGACCTCCAAGAGCTCATTCGAGCCGCACTCGATGTTAGTGAGGGTTCGAGATATTGTAAGCGTCATATTAACTCAGTCCACATATATAGCTGCTAATTTGTCTGATAGGCACCCGAGTCCTAAAGTGCTCGGAGGGCTTACACAACAAAGCGCTCATACTGACAATGGATAACGGCGTCGAGGTTTTTACAAAGCTCCCAAATCCAAGTGCAGGGCCGGCGCGATACACGACAGCCTCGGAGGTTGCCACATATGATATGGTATGATGAATATCTATATCTATATTTCGTTATGATCGTACAAAACATCATAGCTTCGTGAGGTGTTCAAACTTCCCTCACCTCGAATTCTCGCGTGGTCAACAGATGCGACAAATAACTCTGTGGGAGCGGAGTATATTATTCAAGAGAAGGTACAGGGTGTACGGCTTGGTTCTGTTTGGAATCAATGGCCGCGAGAAGAGAGGGTCAGGTTAATTAGGCAGGTTGTTGACATGGAGAATAAGCTGACTACCGTCGCCTTCCCCTGGCATGGTTGCATTTACTATAAAGATGACCTTCTTTCCTTGACTGGGGATGCAAAAGCGCTGACCGTGGATTCCATCGCACCGGAAGTTCTTGAACGTTTTGCTATAGGCCCGCTCACTTCAGCTGAGCTATGGACCGGGGCTAGGAAGGACATGAAGTTGGACCGTGGCCCCTGTGGGTAATCCAGACACTTATCCCCCAAATAGAGAGGCTGATGGTATATACGCAGGGCTCAGTCCAATTCAGTACGCCCAGGCATTGGGGAGCAACGAGATAGCATGGATCAAATCATATGCCAAATCCAGAATGAACTACTATAGGTCAATGGAAGATCAAGAACGTCCCGAAGACGGACTCACCCTTCTCACTCAATACATGGACGCGGCCTCTTACCTGGTTCCCTCATCAAACGATGAAGCAGCAAGTTCAAATATCCTATGGCACCCAGATCTTCATCTGGACAATGTATACGTGGACCCTAACACCCATGATATTACAAGCATAATAGATTGGCAATCCGCGTGCGTTGCCCCTTTGTTCTACCAGTCCGGCGTTCCGAGAATGTTTCGACACCCCGGCCCGGTCCGAGAGGGCTGGGTCATTCCTGAAAAACCCGAGAACTTTGACAGTCTCAGTGAAGAAGAGCAGAATAAGATCCAGGGGGATTTGGAGAGCGAGACAATGCATAAATACTACGAAGCTCAAGCATACAAACGAGCACCGCGTCACTGGGCTGTCCTTCAACAGAAGACGGTTCCCATCATGCGCAAGCCTGCTTGGCTGGTGACTGGTGTATGGGAAAGGCAAAACGTTTTCTTCCTTCGACAGCCACTTATTGCACTTGCTGCGTATTGGGAAGAGATCTCTTCAGACAGCGGGCTACCCTGTCCACTTCAATTTACGAAAACTGACCTCCAGCTTTACTCGGAGGAAGAAGAGACCATTGATGGTGTTGGTCAGCTGCTCACGATACTTCATGATCAAGCATTGCTTCCTCATGATGGCATGGTCAGATCTAATGACTATGAAGCCGCGGTCAATATTAGTCGGAAGGTAAAAGAGATTTTCCTTGGGTTGGCTCAAGACGAAACTGAGAGAGAGCTATTTTCCAAGCTCTGGCCCTATCAAGAGACTGAAGATTAACTATTGCGATGGGCCGAGCAATCGTCAATCAACCGTTATGACGGTTGTTAAGCTTCCGATGGACACCGAAAAGATAAATTTTAAAATATCTCCGCTTATGTATATTCCGATTATTTATAGTTCATTAATGCTGAGGGGTTTTATTTTTGTCGCTTCAGCACCGTAAGTCTGGGTATATTAAACATAGTCTGCTATTACATAGAGGTCGCGGTTAATCCCAAGGTGTACATCAACATCGCTGGCAGCAGTACACATAGCGATGTGGGCAAGGAGAAATGTAGAGCTTAATCGCATATCAAAAGTCCCCATTCGACTAGGTTTGCATGAGACTGAATCCAACAGTCACCGTTCCCCCAAAGTGCTCTTCGTACATCTTTTCCTCAGCTCACTGAGCATCCATCCAAACTTTGGGTCTTCGATAACTCCAAGAATCTCAAAGACCTTTTCATCTGATAGAGACTCAATATATGCTCCGTACTCGTCTGTGAACTTCTGTAGAAAAGAAAGGATTCTCTCACTATATCAGGGTCAGTTATGCCATAAAGAAATAATCCACCCTATTTTCACTTACTCTGAGTAGCGTTCATCGTCCTCCGCATCATCCCCAGAGTATCTTTCATAAATGTCCTTCAAATGCATCAATACAAGACAGCTACCAAAAGCCCGACAAATATCATCTAGATCCTCGCCAGCCCGTTCAGGTACGATCCGGAAGCGATGATCTTTGAATGTATGCAAGCCAACAAGCTTACTGCATAATTGACGAATCGGAAGCTCACGAAGCGAGTCATCATATAGCATGCTTTCGTGCTCAAGGTTAATCTGGTACTCGATCATTAATCACTTTTTCTAGGAATAATACAAATCTTTCTCCATTCTTTCCATAGATAACAAAAAGAGCCAAATGAGAGAGAGGAGTTTAGGCATACATGAACAGCTTTCAGTGCTGGTCCTTCGTAGTTTTCGTCAATGCTAATGCATGTGCATGACCACTCACAACTATCTCTTCCATAAGATCTAGATAAGAATGCGTCGATATCTGATTTGGTCAACGAATAATCTGGTGATTGACATAGTAGAAGCGTGCGGACAGAGAGACGCTTCGTGGATGATTTGAGGTAGAGTCCGTAGACTGCAGCAACTAGGGTTGCTAGAGTTGAGTTGTTCGTTATTAGGTAGGTGACTCCGTAGCTTACGAGGGTTTCCATTTTATTCCTCAGAGGTGCATAGGCATCCAGACAAGGAAAGAGGAGAATAGCAAAGAAGGAAAAAGTGACGGGAACAGAGCATACTAAATAAGAATAAGTAGGAAGGTAGATGATAGTCAGATGAGCTAACAGCTATGAAGAAAGTGGGCACAAAAAGGTTATGTTTCGTATCCACACTGTCCACATGGGCTTGCGTGGCTTTGATTGATTGGCTTCAATGTACGGGATATACGTGTTGGTGTCCGCAGACGAGGCTGGGGTTCTGCATTTTATTAGCCTTATTCTTCATTCAAAGCTCATCTATTTGCCTCTAACTCCATCGCTATTACTGTATTTGTACGGGAAAATTAGGGCTCTGTTATTTTTCCCTCTCCTTCTTATCTCTCTCTTTTATAAATGGTGTTGTTGGTAAAGACAAAATAAATCGACATTAATACATACCCAGAGCAACATCGCTTAATTTGCAGAGTAAAAAATATGCCGAGGTAAGATTTTGACGTCTGCTTGACGATCTGCACCCTTGGAATGTGGAATAAAGGCTATCTGGCATATTCTTGGCACGACCACGTTGTTTCAATGGAGATCCACCCAAAAACATGAGTCGTACTATCGAATGATGCCAGAAAGCAAGGAATAACACGATCTACGGAGGCTCCGGGTGTGTTGGTAAGTTCTGAACCAAGAAAGCTGTCTGCTCTCAATCTCTAAGGGCTACTATTACTTGCCAGTTAGTACTAATGGATATTCTACGGCCCCACTCGCTAGACTGCATACCCTACTCCGTAAATCTTTTGTGCTATAGTCGTGTGTTGGAATGCATATAAATCCCTCATGGTGCCTGAATTTAATGCTAATTGCGCTTGGGGATTGTATTAGTCCAATTAGCGGTGCTCTATGTTGCCTTCGTTTATTTTTATGTCATTGGGGTTGTCGAATTATTGAGAAAGGAAATCCGCAATTTAATGAGCCCTATCTAGGATTTAAAGCTAAAGTCCGCCATAAAAGTCAAGAAATGAACGAGAGTGAATGGCGGAGTGGGCGTAATGCCTTACCATTAGCGAAGAGCTATAGACAGTGTCTGTTAACTAGATCTTGGTATAGCAATATTCCTTTATTTCGGGGTTTGAATATTCTCATCGTTTTATATAGATCTACTATATCCAATAATTTATACATTGATTATGGTCCTTCTACGTCGAAATCCTGCGTAGAAGCAAGCCCCTGCCATTGATCACTAGGTAGCACCCCTGTTCCACTTGATAAGGTCAGAAGATCCTCGATTGTCGCAGAGGCTTCAAAGCACATGTTATTTAAAGAATGGTGGCTGTCCTGAGATAAAGAATTTAGTATTTCCGACATACTACCATGGCCCTGCAGTGATGTCAACTGGTCCTGGAACGGGTTTCCTTGTCCTTCTCCCTCATACACGTCAGCTATTTGCGCTTTCTGGATTAATAATTATGGATATCAAGATCTCACCAGTAGGATCATAGAGAACCTCTGTCAACCGCTGAAGAATGTCTCGACATCGATCTGTAACAGGGTCACCAGACACTAGCTGAGACAATACTGCAATGGCACGGTCAGGGTACAGCCTTGCCTTCCTTGCCAGCTGTTCCATTGTAAGACCCAAGACATAGTTCGATTTGCAGAGCCATAGCACTCCTATGATAGCTAAGGCCGCGTTGAAAACTATATTTGCATTAGATTAAGGGACAGCGGGGAATCAAAACGGGCTTGCTGGGCGCACACATACCATAGTGCAGCGAGAACCACCAGGCCTCAAGAAGATTAGTTCGCCAATCGGTGGCATAGACTAACTCATATATCATATCGATCGTGGCAATTGCTGACTCGGTGCATATCTCCAAGCTGTGCAGCCCAACTAGCGGAATTGTCTGGGATCCCTGTTGATCGGTTGTGTGGCGCCATGTTTCAATCATACTTGCCAGGGTTGAACGATGGAGAAGAGTGCGGATATTGTAGTATCGTAGAGAGATCATAACAGAGAATTTTCTTGAGAAGAATTCCGCGTTTGTTAGCGGCTCCTGCTGCTCATCATGTAATCCTGCTGCCGAGAGAATAGTTAGACCGTGGGGAAGTGATATCTGCCAAGCACAGAGGCTATCCTCCATTGACGAAATGTGAGAAATTATCTCGTTTATACTTAAAGACGTGCCAGAGTCCAGATTGTGGTCGAAAAGTACGTCAATAATCTTTGCTAGTTGTTTGTACAGAGCACTGGATGATTCGTTTTAATGACGGGCACAACCTGCTATATCGGTAAACTTACATGGTAGAATTGAGGCAGGAAACACTAAGATCAGCTGTTGTATTGTCCATGATGGTGGATGTATCGATGCAGGTATGGTTGGCAGGCAGCTCAAGCCTTATGTAGCAGTCTGGTATTGCGGCTGGTCTTCCAAGTGTCATACTCAAAAATCTAAATCGCACGAATTCTTTAGCCTACCAATACTGATATAATGCGAAGTGGAATTACTCGAGAACATATACCTGTCGATCATAACACACCCATACCAGGTGCGTTTGCGCGCCTCCTTTGCCAGCGCAGGCATATCTTTCAGGGCATTTTGCGAATGTAGACCAAGTTTAAAGGCTGCCTTAACAGTTAAGGTATGTACCGTCCAAGCCTGTCCAGGTCTATGCCTCCCATGAAGGTACTGGCCTAGGAGGAGAAGGAACTGCACTGCAGTGGACTATGAGTCTGTATCGTGCCATTTAGGGGCACAGGTGACAACTCACCATCTTCGATATTCTCACCATTAAATATTTCCTCGCCGTATAGATTCACTGCCCGTTGGTAACAAGCATCAGATTCAGTGATATAAGTTGCAACATACTGCTTGTTCGGGATAATAGATAGTTTGACCATGGCGAAAATCAGGTTCAGCAGTGCCAGCCATTTTCGCCTCACACTTAAGCAACCATTCTTGAGCAAACGGGTATATGTCTCCAGAAACGTAACTGGATATATGAAAGGAAACAAGATCCCAATCTCGAAGAAAAACTTCTGGACAAGTTCCGTCATTTCGTTGGCTGGTGGGAGTGAAAAGATATTTGCCTCCGAAGATTGTGTCCTCTCGGAGGCTGGGGTCGGATATTGTGCTTGGAATACGTCCACGTGAGATTCCATATTGGAGGTAGGTAGAATAGGCATATCCTTTTCCGGTGTAATGGCATGACATAAACAACGCAGAAAGTAGTCATTTGATGAAGGGCCTTTTGCACACCTGTTAATTGGCTGGCACTTGCAGGGAACGAAGCAGTTATACCAAGAAATCCAGGTTCTTTCTCATCGGTAAGGGAGTTTAACCCTATGCCTCGGACTGGGTTGTTTGTGTCATTGATAGCGCACTTAGCTTCAATATCGGATGTCTGCGAAGACGTCGATGCTGCCCCCAGATCATCTTTCATGGTAGCTAGAGTTTCTTCTATGCTTTTAACACGATCTTCTAGCGCTTGGAAATACCTATGACATGATAAGCCCCACAAAGAACACCTCCACAGTTGGACTAATGTCAGTGTCACGAACTCTTTCTGAATGATGACATTCTGGGTATGGTTTGGGGTGGTATATACACATTCAAACCCCAAACGACCACACGCAGAGCAGCTGGGGCGGATGCCATCGCACTAAGAATGTGTCAGCTTACAATTGCAGTCTAAGAATAGGATGGGGAGGGATATATATTTACCCGCGACTTTCGCAAACGACAGATATCACAGGCCAAGGCTACCCGAGACCGCCTGTTTGCTCGATTATTCTGAGCCATCTGGTTACCACCAGATCTTCTCATGTTAATCATGATCTTGGGAAAGGCTTGTTCTCACGTTGTGGACTCTTCTTTACTGGGCATATTTATACGGAGCCAACCTATAAAGGTTAATAGGCCACTATATACAGTGTTCCTGGTGGAAGCATGGGCCCTGTGCCTAAAATAGGACGGACAAAGATAACGAGGGCTCAGCCACTGCTGCCTATTCCACTTTCGGGTGGAGATGCGGATCGTTGACGCTTCATCGAGATGCATCCACTCTACCGAAAGCTAAATAAAGCACGCCAAGAAATCCGTGTGGAGAGCTAACATATTAAGGTACGGGTTGAACCTCCCCACCCCCCTAAGTATATTCGGATGTACGAACCACGGAGATGCTGCGTTCTTAATATAGACCAACCACGCGGGAGATCTACCTTGTGCAATCAACATGGGAATAACGATGGCGAACACTCCTCATACCTCGGTCCTTGAAAAGTATCATGATTGCTTTTATGGTACCTTGTGGCGGCGTGACACTTCACCTCCTGTGCCCAGCGAGGCAGTACGCTCATAGCTTTAGGACAAAGCCTTGGTAGTATTGCGAAAGCTTTTCAGGCTCACATGGATTATCAGATGCTTAAGATTCCAATGTTATGCAGGTGTATATTGTATCTCTAAATATGACACGAATTCATTGCGCCACATACATAATCGCAATGGTTAAAAATCAAAACAAATAAATCAGGGGACACATACGCAGGGTCTATCAACATAGCCTGGCAAATTGTCCTTCGGGTTTATTCCCATGTACAGTCCGGTAATGAATAAACATAGATAAAACAGCGCTAATTTCATTGCATCGCTCGTTAAAATCAGTATCGTTATAGAAGGTTCTTCAAGGGCTTCTGGATCTCGGGTACCACTGATGAGCCGTCCGCATGTAGTCGGCTCATTTGCGGGTCGTACAGTGGCTCTGTTGTGACGGTAGCTGGAATACGCCGCCCAAAGTACTCGATCTCAACTGTATGGCCCTCTGTTACGCTCGCGGGTAACCAGGCGTACGCGACCGGCTTTCGAACCGTGAAGCCGAACGCGGCGCTAGTGACATAGCCAACAGCTTTACCATTCAGGAAAACTGGCTCCTTACCAAGCACCATAGAACGCCCATCATTGACGGTGAGGCAGCGCAGACGCCTTGTGGGTGCCTGTTTTGAGAGACGCTGAATGGCAGCTTTACCCACATAGTCTTCCCTTTTGTCTGTCTTGATGGCGGAAGCAACGCCTGCTTCATACGGGTTGTGTTCGGTGGTCATATCGCTGCCCCAGGTTCGGTAGCCCTTCTCCAACCGCAAAGCGTTAAAGGCAGCACGGCCGGCCGCGATTAACCCGTGGCACTTTCCTGCCTGCCAGATTGCATCCCACAACCGCTGGCCGTACTGGGAACTGGTCTGGATCTCCCAGCCCAGCTCCCCGACGTAGGACTTCCGGAAAGCCGTGACTGGGATTCCGGCGATAGTCGCGTTCTTAACCCCGAGATAAGGCAGCCCCGTGTTGGAAAAGTCATCTGTGGTGATGGTGCTGATAACGTCCCAGGCGCGAGGGCCCCAGAGTCCGATACAACAGGTGCTGCCAGTAATTTCACGGACCTGGACCCATTGGCTCGGAGTGTGCTGTTCTTGGCGACGGCCTTCTCTAACTAGATATTCCAGATCGATGGCCGTGTTTGCTCCGATTTGGAAGACATCCTCACTGAGCCTTGATACGAAAATGTCACTGCGAATTCCGCCGTGATCGTTTAGGAGAAGAGTGTAAGTGATGGTCCCCGGCTTGGCAGTAATGTCGCCTGTAGTTAACCGTTGGAGGAGATCGATAGACCCCGGGCCGGACACCTCGAATCGGTGAAATGAAGTCATATCGTACATGGCTACTGCATTGCGTGTCTTCCAAGCTTCCACTGCAGAAATAGGCGAGTAGAACCGTGCTGACCAGGCATCTCGTCCGACGGGTTGCCACTGTGCCGGGAGATACTTCAGTAGCTCTGAGTTAGATTCGTACCAGAATGGACGCTCCCACCCCCCAAGCTCGAGGAAGAAAGCACCCAACTCTCGCTCTCTGTTATAAAAGGGACTAACGCGAAGGTTCCGGGGCGACTCCTTTGGTTGCATGGGATGTAGTATATCGTAGATCTCGACAAAATTCTGCTGCGAGGTCTCGCTGACGTAGTCACGGCTGAGTTGAATTTCTTCAAAACGAGAGAGCTCGCATTCAGAAAGGTCAATCTGGGATCGGCCTGTGGTAAGCACCTCTGCTACAGCGCGTGCCACACCAGCTGAATGTGTTACCCAGACCGCCTCGGCTACATAGAAGCCATCAACATTCGGTGCTTGTCCAATGAGGGGACCACCATCCGGAGTGAAAGAGAAAATGCCATTGAAGCCGTCGGCAATTTCTGTGTCGCGTAGAGCGGGCAACAGCTCCTGTGTCTCCTTCCAGGCTGGGTCGAAATCCTCGCTGGTGAACTCCAAGCGTGATGGCATATTCTTCTCATCGACGTGCTTGGAAGTTAATCCCAACGATGCGGCGACGACAGGCATGGGACGATGACCATAGTAGCCGATGCCGTATTGGCCGCCATGCTCGCGGAAATATAGATCATGGTCTTGATGACGTAGGATAGGCCGTACAGCATTTCGTCCATTCGGAAGATCATTGATGGGACGGCCAGCGAGAGCCGGCACGGTAGTTGTTTTCGCATACTGATGCGCTAGCGGAAGCAAAGGAATCGGCACACCGACCATGGCGCCAACTTCAACACCCCAGAAGCCAGCACAAGAAATTATAATATCGGCAGGAATGACGCCGTTGGGTATCCTCACTCCTGTTACCCGGCGACCACTTCGTTCGATGCCGGTGACAGGTGTAGACTCGAGATAGCGGACACCGGCATTGCGGGTTCTTTCGATGAGCAATTGTGTCGCGCGTGCAGCGAGTGCTAGACCGTCACTCGGAATGTGTAGGCCCCCTAGAACCTTTTCCTTATTTAAGAGAGGATACATTTTGAGGCATTCCTCGGCATCGATGAGGCGTGCCTCGATCCCCCACGACGAGGCATAGCCGTGCTTGCGCTTAAGTTCTTGAAGTCTCTCAGGTGTCGTCGCCACTTCCAGGCCACCTACTTGATTGAAGCAATCGATAGATAGCAGCTTTTCAACGGTGTAGCGGGCCAAATTGGTCATGGTCTTCGAAGGAGTGGTCTGGAACACAAGACCTGGAGCGTGTGATGTCGAGCCGCCCGGCATATGCAACGGGCCTTGCTCGACAACGGTGATGTCCTTCCATCCGCGCGAGACCAGCTCGTCAGCGATGTTGGTGCCCACGATACCGGCCCCAATAATAACAACTCTTTGTGTAGGCGCCATGTTGAGAAAAACGCTTGATTCGCTATTCCAATCTGTCGAGACTAGGCCATTATTTATTCATCGACAACCATCGATCCAGGCCGGAGGACACGGCTATCATGCCGCTTCCCCGCCGCCCTTTCGAAAGTATGTGTGAGATAAGGTATAAGCTCCATCACTATCGAAGTGAAGCCGCCGGGCCGTATGCCGACGGATATCAAGTAGAGGTACGGGAGTAGATGGGAGAGTATACCGGTCTTGGTCATGGGGTCCTTTTTGCTCGTTTTGGTCTAGCGAAATCTTAGTCACTCTCCGGATTCTGGATAGGATTACCCTTTTTGGAGTGAACCGATCACGTGAGCTTAACCCCCTTGGGCCAATGCGCCTGTGTGTGTCCGGATTCGGTTTAGGCGCCGATGGACTGTATAACCCCATGGGGCGTTGAGCAAATAGCATCCCTGATTCTATCTTTATCAGTCTTTCAGTCCAAGGGTCCAAAGTCAAATGACGACGGTAAGATTTGGCGAGGCCTGGCCATAGATAGTGAATGATCTCCGGAAACTTGCTGTAGCGGCCCGGACTACCAAAGTCCACTTCGTATAACGGCCTATCTCTGATTGTGTAAACGTAATGCATGTATTATATGAGCACTGGACTTCATATCATTGCTGCATTCCTCTTGTTTTTCCAATCTAGAGTGGGGTGTTATACAGTCTAGCTCGTTTGTCAAATAGGTTGCCTATGTTGGATGGCGATTCTGTACCGTCGGTCCGCCCGTTATCAGTTCAAGTGGAGACTCAGCTGATATTGGCCGTCCACGAGCCGAAGTTACAATATATCCTAAGAAAGGTACTATGAAAGACTCGCCCCTCCAGAAAGCTACGTTCTAGTGAAGTCAATTCTCCACCACTATCACTGTGAACATCCAGCAACGCTCTTAACCCTATCCAACCCATGCCCAAAACCATGCTACACAAGACCACAGGTAGACTACTGTTGTTCTTCAGTGTATCATTCTCAACGATTGTGGGCTACCTATCATCGAATTGACCAGGATCCTGGACAAAGGACAAAGGACATGAGAATCAGCACCGTATAGTTAAGGTAAATATTTTCCCACTTTCGTGACCCATCATTTAGGACTCCTTCGGTCATACGGTACACATAAGGTTTTCCCCATGTTTACATTTCGACGGCTCTATCAACCTCCACCGCCTCTTCGCTATTCGGTGATTTGTGTTAATGAAACCAACTGAAAGATGGCTTTCACTAGCCCCCAACAGGCACTTGTCCACCAGAACCTGCAGAAACAAAAGGCTGATGACTCGGGGTTGTCTGGTGACTCTGGTCCATTGGGGAGCAAAATGAAGAACTTGCATTAGCATGTACACACAGCACATATAACTTAACACCTCGCAGATATATTTCCAATATTACACCTTAGCAACCATGTTCTCGTTGGAGCACTCATATCATCCTGCCAACGGCTCTAAGCCGTCTTTCACAAATACAAGCCATCATTACCATTTAACATCTCTAAGCTTTAGCGGAACGTGAAGCATCCGATGTCCGGCTTCGGTTGGCTTCGGCAGCTGTCCTCCCCGGATATTTATTTGAAGTGACTGGTGGAGCAATCTTGGCTCTGCCAACTTCGCGTCTCGTTCCTGCCGCAGAGACACAAACTCCTCCTCAGTGATTCCGTCTCTCAAATGTTTGTTTTGACTCTTGTGATCCTGCACGCTTAGCCAAGGTATCGGGGTTTTACGGTCCTCCGGTGGATAATCATGGCCTGTCCAGATCTTCACGTGGTCTGGCAAGCTAAGAAGTTTACGTCCGGAGTTGAAGAGGCTTTGTGCACTTCCACCAGGGAAGTCACAGCGCGCAGTACCAATATCTGCGTGGAACAAAGAATCCCCACAGAATACATTATCTAAAAATTGTCAGCAGATCCGGATATCGAAAAGAATTCTAGTGAGAATCTTACCTCCAATTTTATAGCCTAAATGGTCTGGGGTGTGACCGGGAAGGTGCATGGCTGTGGCTACCAAATTTCCAATCTTGAACTTCTCATCGTCATTAAACAGTGTGTCAAAAACAACACTGTATTCATCTGGTGGAACTGCGTATCTCTGACCGAATAATTTCTGCACCTGCCCGATGCGCTTGCCAATGCCGATCGATGGCTTGTGGCCATATTCCTCCATAAGGCGATTCTGGAGATAAGATGCTGCAGTGAGATGGTCTGCATGGGCATGAGTCTCCAAGATTCTGTCAACCTTGTATCCCTTTTCCTTGACCAGTGAGAGCAGTGAATCGGCGGCGGAAGTGGTAACGGTTTGGGTGGCTGGGTCATAATCCAGAACTGGATCGATGATTACAGCAGCCAAAGTGGATGGGTCAGAGACCACGTATTGCCATGTACCTGTCTTCGTCTCAAAAACGGCGTGGATGGTAGGTTCCCCGGTCGCAGTGGCTTCCGTGCTGTACGAAGCTCGGCCTTGGGCTACAGCTTGTGGGGTTTTGGTCGTAATTGAACGTATAGACCGTGAATTATTAAATAATAAGGTGCGTCTATCATCCAACTTGCTTTTTAGTGAAGCTTTTTGAAAATCGGTACTGACGGCTGAATGGTAGGTTTTGGTGGTATATGCGGCCCTCTTCTCGGCATGTTGGCAAAGAGAACGGAGCGGCCTCCTAAGAGTTGTGGCTCGAATCGAGTTGGCCATTGGCCCAAGTGAGCCCAAAGCAGCCTGGGAAGTTCTAAAGGAGTTCATTATGATGTTATGTTATGATGGAGCATTAGAAAACATGGAATATGTACAGAGAAGGGCATTTACGATACTTAAGGTTGTCCAAGTTAGGGTTCCCGGGGTCCACTTATTCCGGAAAGTGGCAAGCGCTGCAACCGTCCGATTCTTCGCCGACCGGTCCACGTGCTGTCAGGTACATAAAGAGCAGTCGGCGATCGAACTTGTCCCGCCTTGTTGATAATCTTATCCATCGCTCTCTCCGGTGTTACTCCAATTCACCACGGACGGTCATCGCCCCAGTCCTTTAAAGTGACCTGGCCATTTCTCTTCTAATTCATTTTTTCTTCTCCAATAATCTCTACTTTCCGTCTCGCACAATCCATTTTTCAGACATGTTCCGCACTCGAGTAACGTCAGCAGCTTGCGCTGCTGCCCAAAAAGTTCCAGCTGCACGAAATTTCGCAACGGCTACACCAGTGAGCTCTGCTTCTCGGAACCACAAGGTTGTGGTGATTGGTGGTGGTACTGCTGGTCTGTCTATCAGCCATCAGCTTCTTAACTCTGGCAAATTTACTCAAGATGACATTGCTGTTGTCGACCCGGCAGCATGGCACCATTATCAGCCCGGATGGACTTTGGTTGGGGGTGGTCTTAAAACCAAGGAGGAGCTGCGCAGGCCAATGAACAGTCTGATTGATCCTAAGCTCAAATTTTACAACGACAGGGTGTCCACGTTTTCCCCCGAGGAGAATCTTGTTACTCTCGGTAATGGCGACAAGGTCAACTATGAGCAGCTAGTTGTGGTGCCCGGCATTAACATTAATTATGGCAGCATCGAGGGTCTGCCCGAGGCTCTGGAGTCTCCAGACGCTCCTGTCTCGACTATCTATGGTTACGACACATGCGATAAAGTCTTCCGCACCGTCCAAAAACTCCAGAAAGGTGTGGCTCTTTTCACACAACCTGCCGGTGTGGTCAAATGTGCGGGCGCGCCGCAAAAGGTCATGTGGCTTGCATTGGACCATTGGAAGAGAGCCGGCCTCTACGACCCTAGCAACCCCTCCAATTCTGCCATCAATATCAGCTTTGCCACTGCTCTCCCAGCCATGTTTGGTGTGCCTAAGTACAGTGCTACACTTGAGGCTCTGCGGAAGGAAAGGGGCGTCGAGGGACTCTTCCAGCATGACCTCGTCGCCATCGAAGGCAATACAGCCACTTTTGCTCGTCTCGATGGACAGGAGAAGGTTAAGAAACAATTCGATCTGCTGCACGTTGTGCCCAAGATGGGCCCCCATGCATTTGTCAAGAACAGCGCTCTGGCAAACGAGGCTGGATTTGTCGATGTTGATGATAGCACCATGCGTCACAAGAAATTCTCTAATGTCTGGTCTGCGGGCGATGGCTCCAGTCTTCCTACAGCCAAGACGGCTGCGGCAATTACTTCCCAATCACCCATCCTTGTCCGTGGTTTGCTTTCCACAATGGAGGGCAAGGAGCCCGAAGGCAACTATGACGGCTATACCTCATGCCCTCTCCTGACAGAGTACGGCAAGGTTCTTTTGGCTGAATTCAAGTACGGCGGACAGCCCAAGGAGACTTTTGGTAACTTGCTCGGTATCGACCAAGCCACTCCTCGCCGTGCATTCTATCATCTGAAGAAAGACTTCTTCCCTTGGGTGTACTACCAAGCCATGGTCAAGGGCAAATGGGGCGGTCCTAAGGGTTGGCTTAACTAGAAGAGCCTGGAGCTCGTGTGTACTATACTTCTTGAGACAACCAAATACTGGAAACTTCAAAATTAGCGAAAATTACATTTTACAATCCATGTACATAATGATCTACAAAATTGTATAAACTTGCTCCTGAAATCTTCAACTCAACAATGGCCCCCTTTTGTTTTTCCTTCGCTTTTTTGTTTTTCTCCCTTCGATGTTCGACTTTTTCCGTCCTCCTTGATTTTTCAAATCACGTCATTTGGTAGCCGAGATCGGACCTGTCTTTTTGGTGGGTCCACTACGGCCGAGAACCCTGGACGGGTTGCCGAACCACATTAAACCCGCTTCCTTCATTTTCTCCCCCGAAACATCATCTTCCCCGCGCACATTTGCGGGGAACGGAGATTGATAGCTTAAAAGACCTACATGGTATATATTGCTTTAAAATATCTTCTTTCTGTACTTTCTAGCATGTATTCCGTGGTCTATACTAGTAGTCATTCAACCCTCCCCTCCCCTCCCCTCGGGCGACAAATAATGTTATCGTCCGAGAGAAGTTTCGCCCATTTCAGTCGGCCGAAAGGGATTATTCACCTTTGACATCATACCATGTCATGGTCATCCTGATGCTCGCGAACAACGCCATCATCAATCGCCGATTGATACAAGTTTTGGAATATGCTATAATGGCTCGGGATATACAGGGGACATGAAGTGGATGAGGTCTAGAACGCGGATATATTGACTGAAAGAATTCGAGATTTACGTGGAAGTATGCATTGTAGTCAGATGCCATATCCAACTAAACCATCGGGGGGTAAAGATTCATGGTCAAGTATGGGCTGTCAAGGTGCTCATACCTTTGACAAGCGCAGTATCGTGAATTGGTTGAATTATTAAACTAGGTCTGATTGGGAAAGGATTGAGTTAAACGGTGAAGGTATTTGGGATAGATATAGTAACTTTATATTACTTATGTTTATATATTCAATCTCAAATTGTCTGTTCAACCTAGAAACCCCCGATGGTCTAGTTGGATATGGCGTTCGGCTGTAATGGTATACACATATAACCGAAAGGTCGCCGGCTCGATTCCGGCTCGGGGGAAAAGGTCTTTCTTTTTTTGGGCTTTTTTTGCCGGCCTGATAGCGTAATCTGGCAGAGGACTTTCTATTATTTCTACAGATACTTATAATAGTTGCACCCTTTATCTACCAGGGTAGATATTTTTGTGCAAGCATGATTTGAATTATAAATCTGAGAATTAAATTTTCAAAGCCCAGATGAAAACCCACAGTACTTACTTCTTGCCAAGAGAATAATAACAATGGAATCAAACATTACATATTAATATAAAATGAATATACTTAAAACGACCAGACTGATGGCATATACATGTTCACTAGCAGGTTGCTCTTCGAATTGCCTGGGCTGCGTTACGTTCTGTAGCCCGTGTTCAGTTCATTAAGCTTAATGTACCCCTCAAGGAGCTGATTACGATGGTCGGTCGATGACCAGGTCGATGTAGGACGATGCTGTTAGTTTGAAATCTAACCAAGTCATACTAACTGAAGAACAAGGAACTTCACCGTCAAGCGGTCCGCTTTGATAAAACCGGCATAATCAGCTCAATGACTTGTTACTGGTGACACTTAAGTTCTTCAAGTCCCAAGTATAAATTAGGATCCATGCTAGTCTTGAAGGGTAATAACTGCTTCCAGACTGGTGGGTATAGTTGGTGTGGACCTAAATTGTAGGGCTGATCAGGGTATACTGAGGTCTCTCTTTTTACAATCAACTGCATCAGTCTTAAAGAGAATGTCATCGTTGGTCTAAGTCTATATTATCTTATTACTTATATGTTGTTGGATATAAGGACGGCATATGCCCCTATATAGCTCTTTAAATGTAACGTAATGCCGCAATTTCCAGCTTGATAAGGAGTCACTGTATCCAGCCAGTCTATTAGTACTTGCGTATCACTCGAAGAACGAATATAGATGAAGAGGGATTGAATGGGATGACACCCTGTTGCTCGACTAGTGATGTTCTGTGTAGATTCCAGCTAGGGCATACTTCTAAGTCACCAGAAGACTCGTCCCGAATGAGAATATCCGAGATATGCCTTTCGCGACAAGAAACAACTTCCTGGTTTCAGGTTAACGTTGGTATAGTTAATGAGTTTCATAATTGCTTTATACATATTTTATTTGGAATGCAAAGAAATTTCGTCTCTAATAAGAAAGATTCACTCAAGATTGATATATTTATCTTCTACAGTACCACATTGATACATGCTTGCAGCAATACGCATAGTAACGACCTATACTATTCCGCAGTGGTGAAGTTTTATCAGTCCTTGCTTAAGAAAAATGAAATACAATTGAATAGGCATACTTGGAAACACAAGTGTCTACTCAATATACTCGGTAAACTTGTTGTAATTTGTGTAGAACTGTCCGATGTCCCGAGTGGGTCGTCTTGGAGCAACACCTTGCACTCTATACAAGACAATTCAGCCAAATGATCAGCGAGTACGACCCAATGCTTCGATGAATTTCTCGTAAAATTACGTACATCCATCTATACATATTATCGCTTTTTCTGCAGGGTGGTCTGAAGCCAAAATGCCAAGTTTCAAAGGTGGAAGTGCCTATCGGTTCCGATGTTCATCGTCGGCTCCGCTGTAACATTACACTGGACTGCGGATCCGATGGTATTGCCCTCGAACTATTTATCTCTCCTCGTCGCCCTTTCGAGTCACCCAGATTCTCAATTTTTTACTCACCCAATCATTGCAAGCCCTATATTTCCCCCTTTGTTTAAAAAGATACCAAGATGTTCAACAATCCTACTGTCATAATTGTGCCGGGCTCATGGCATTGCCCGAAACATTACAAATACCTCATCAACGGACTGGCAAAGGTCAACTACGAAGCTGTCGGTGTGGCATTACCGTCTGTTAACTCAAGCCCTCCCCATGCCAGCTGGGATCAAGATGCCCAAGCCGTCCGTGAGGTTATCATGAAGAGCCTTGACAATGGCAATGATGTCATTGCGGTCGCGCACTCGTTTGGTGGCGTTGCCATGTCTGAGGCTGTGAAAGGGTTGGGCAAGGAAGCGCGCGAGAAGCAAGGTTTAAAGGGCGGTGTTGTGCGCCTGATCTACATGTGTGCTATGGCGCTGCCTGAGGGTCAGACTCATGTTGGTCAGATCCAGCCCCAGACCCCTGAGGAAGAGGAGCTGGAGCGGCAACGCCAGGAGCTACAGGCAAAGTACGGGGGCATGCGGTTTACAGAGGTATGGTGGATGGCTCCTATACAATTTGATTAAGACGTGCCCTTTTCTTTGGATATAGGTGCTGATTACTGGAGTTATCTTACTAGGATGGAGCTATGCTTTTAGACAAGGAGGTCATTCGAGATGTTTTTTACAATCGCTGTGATCCCAAAGATGTGGATGAGGCAGTGGAGCTCCTGGGCTCATTTCCAACAGGCCCTCTCACTGTACCTGTGACTTACACGGCCTACCGCGAGATTCCTAGTACATACATCGTCTGCGAGAATGACAAGGCCCTAGCGCTATCTTATCAAGAGAGAATGATTGCACAGGGCGATGGTGTTTTCCACGTTGAAAGATGCCAAGAGGGACACTCACCGTTTTTGAGCAATCCGACTTTTGTCGTGGACTGTATTCGTCGTGCTGCTGGAGAGAAAATATAACGGATGATAGAACACATGAAACGTTGGGTACTATATAGATTGGCTTGCAACAACTTGACATCTGTGAGCCCGGGAAGTGGGCGAACCTGATTTTCAATGGGTGTCAAACTGATAACACTTCCGTATAACTCTCTTTCTAGAATTCCTGAGAAATTTACAATACAATGAAGAAGCCGTTGCAGATCTTTACAACATATTGATGTATAAGAATTGGCGATAGGGCATGTCACCTGACTGGTACGGTGCCCGGTTTGTTCCGAAGTCAAATCTAACCTTACTTTGTTCTATACCCAACCTGCTGCTGCAATATCAATATCCTTGCTCTTTTAGCGATAAATCAACAGGTCAATATTACAAGTACTAGATCATTGGTGCAGATGCCACCTTCCACCGCACCCACAAGGCGCCAGTATTCAAGTTGCGACGCATGCCGACGGTCGAAACGGCGCTGCTGCTTGCCACCTGACAAAGATGGGGAGCTTCATCCAGTATGCACTAACTGCAAGCGCATAGGATCGCCTTGCACATTTGATTTTGCTAAATCTCACTCACGAGTAATAACGCGAAGGAGCCGAAGGCGTCATGCACCAAGGGCTACTTTTTCTGGGGAATGCGACTTCTCAACTCCCACCTTAGAAAACGCGGTTGATGCAATCCATGACAGCCAATCGCAAGTGCACTCTATAGCAGATCAGGACATTCTTCTGACGTCTTGGCTTAACATTGATCTTAACCATTGCCTTGATGACAATTCCACACCTTTTCTACACAGCACGGACTTCCCCGACATACTTGCGGATAACGCAACACTAGCACGACATGATGATGGGATTGCCACTTCTCTTTTGACGCATCGCTCGGACGCAGTACAGCGTCCAGTTCTGTATAATACACGTCTTAACATCGGCAGCTCGCCTAGCAGCCCCCTCCATCTGCTTAATTCTAAATTGAACGCAACCATTCTTGATCAATGCCTGGCCCGCATCCATGATACGATCGTTACGGGTTGCGCGTCCAGGTTTATAGGCTATGAATGCAATCTATACAAATCTCGACATTGCTACCAATTAGAAGATGGTGACTGTGGAAGCCCGCAGGACCAAAAGCCTGTGCAATTAGATCCTATTTCAAAAGAAAACGTATCTATAACGCAGGATGCTAGCTACAGAATGACAATATTGGGGGCTATTCGTTTTCTAGACCATTTCAGCGACCTTTATGGCAACAGACTGACTGTCTCTGCTCGAAGAAAGTCAGATGCTGTTTTGAAAGCAGTGCTCAGAGCATTCTCACTTCAGTGGCTCTCGCCTATCAATTCTACCACTGGTGTTCATTTGACAAACAACCATAGCAGTACTGTTGGCAGAGACACGCCCCGCGATTTATCGATGGACGCTTTCTATGACAGTTGGTTTCAAGCACGATCGCTTATCAATAGTGCGCTTTCTGTTCAATCCTTCAGAGTTATATATGCGATATTAATGTTCGATGGTATTTCAATTCCAGCGAAGGCGAGCGGCGAGACTGTTGTAGCCCATGAATTTCTTGAGGTGGGGTTGCAGAAGATGAATTGCCTGACTGGGCTTGTTGAGCAATACTGTACGAACCTGGGGCCGCATTCTATATATGGTCCTGTCATGGACGCTAGCTTGAGCGTAGTGCGATGGTGTGGCCATGTCCGTGATATAGGGGCAGCACTCACAGCAGATCACGTATGCAAGCTTTCTGACGTTTCAGGTAATGACAAAGGTAACTGGTTCGTATCTTGAACGCCAACTATTTTACTAAGTATCTCTTAGGTCAAGCGACCTCTTCCGGATGCGAGCCAATGTCGCCTTCTCTTTTTCATCGGAGCTTCAATCAAGACTTTGATGATAGTGTCCCCGGTATATGTCGCGCAGCAGCCGCGGAGGCTTTCCGTGTCTGGAAACAAATAGTTTCAATAAAAGGATCCCTCTCTAGCCCGATCAAGAATGACATTGGATCATTTCCAAACCTATCTGCGGATATTACCTCGACGGTCACGGCAGTTGGTAAATTCAAGGATGTGTTTGGCTCTTCCTTGGACCTCTGTATAGGAAATCTTGGATATCTTTCCATGCGCTCAAGATTGTCTTCTGGTACGTCACGCATATGGCCATGGCTCCCCTTCGATATGTTCAACTTAATCGCCATTCTAACCAATATGGGACAGTCTCCATTGCAATGTTCTGGAACCTCGGTGTCTTTGTTCTCATGGAAAGTCTGGACCCTACTATGAAGGGGCTAAACCCACCTTGCACTCACAGTGTCTTTTCAAGACTACAAACATACACCGAGGAGGCTGCTTTATTAGTAACACGGGCAGCAGAGCGCGTGCTCTCGCTTCCTTTCGAGGAGATCTTCAACCTCCAGAACGGCGTTAGTGCTGAGGCTTCGGTACTCTCCTACCATATCACCCCTACGCTAGTAGCGGCTACCTTCCAAAAGGCAGTCGAGAATATACTTAGTATGCAATTATATGCGCCTTGTGATGTGGGCACAGTAGAAGACAGACCCTTAAGTCTCTATACTGACTTGAACTGGAAAAAACATATCGACACCATCCTGAAAGCCCTTGTTTCGCTTGATGCTACGATTGGTGGATTACAGGCCTCAAGTGTGGCAATACAAAGTCTAATGCGAAATCATGGGGATATTATATCGGATTGTTGGTCGTGCGACTTTGAGACTTAACCACTGTTTGATCTCAATAATGGCCTATAACAAAGGACTGAACCAAAAGCGCTCGATAATCTTAGGTGTACCTCCCCAAAAGCTGGGTTCACATTAGAAGAAAGTTCACATCTTCTAGTTAACTGCATACAGACCACGATCCTTTCGGTCAGAAATCACGGGACTGTATATGTTCCCTATTGCTTTCAGCCATCCTTCTTACACCAAAATTGACCTGTTTTGCAATGATGGCAATGCTCTCTATGATAGCCGTGTCAGTTATGCAAACCTTTCAAGTCTCAAAATCAGATAGCGAAGCTCTTACCGAGAAGCAGCTTGGGAAGACTGCGCTAAGTTGAAGAAACACTCAACGTACGCCACTTTGCGTCGGATGTTGCGAGAACCTCAGCCGCCTTTGCGGCATGTTCAACCGCATCAGGGCCAATCAAAAGTCGTAGCGGAGGTTCCTCTTCATTCGACAACCTAAGAATAATGTTTGCGACCTTTCTTGGTATGGATGGTTCATTTCCTAAATTTTCCCGGCGCATATCGGCCATATAGCCCACGGTACTCTTGTACGGTTCGCTCACTGGGGGAATTTGCATTGACGAGCCAGCCCAGTCAGTCTTCATGCCACCAGGCTCCACCACGGTGACATTGATGCCGAACGGTGCCACCTCTCGCGCAAGCACGGTCGAGAAACCTCCAACTGCCCATTTTGCACATTGGTATGCTGAGAGACCCGGCACGCCGAGTCGTCCACCAACCGAGGAAATCTGGAATATGTGGCCGGACTTTTGCTGACGAAGGATGGGTATGACCGCCTTCGAAACGTACACAACCCCGAAGAGATTCGCATCTACTTGGGCCCGGAAGTCATCGATATCTATATCCTCGATAGCGACTGAGTTGGCGTACCCTGCGTTATTGACGACGATGTCAATTCGGCCAAACCTGTCATGTCCAGCCTTCACAGCCTTGATCACTTGGTCGTTGTCGCTGACGTCTAGAGCTAGGACAAAGACTCTTTCGCCGCCATATTTTTCTGCCAGACCTGCGAGTTGCTCTGGCCTTCGGGCAGTTGCGATGACAGAATCTCCAGCGTTGAGCGCAGCTTCAGCTATGGCGAGGCCGAGGCCACGAGAGCATCCAGTGATAAACCAAACTCTGGTCATTGTATATCAGCTAGTAAGAATGAGCTGTTTAAATACAATGCAATTGAAGCAGGGAGGCTTAAAGGAGATTTTGATAATTCAGAGTGCCTCTGCCAACATGTAGGGGCACCATTATATTTATAGACTCTCATCTTACCAGTGTACTCATAGATGTGCGGGTTAGTTGATTCATACGGCCACAAGACGACGGAGATAAGGAGCTTAATTCCATTCTCCGCCGCACGCCACAGTCAGGATCAGTCATTGTCAGTAACTGGTCTGGAATTATAGGTTTCTGAAAGGCAATCTGTGAGGATCCAAAGGGAGCCGGTTGGTCGTAGTGCGAATAATGCTTAGCACTTTTCAAGATGTTCATAGTTGCGATAGCCCCTTTTCCATAGAAATCATACAGCGCTCTGTAACGACATTCACCCTATTTGGGGGTATTTCCCTCGCAGCACTCTTCCCATCATCGAATAGTCAAAACAGGTCTATTCCTCTTAAACGTACACTCCATCAATAGCTAAGAGTACAAGCAAAGCAATACAGGTTCACCAGTCAACTACAGTATCCATCTGCTGCTGCTCAGTCCTCTGTTCCATCGCATCATGAGCATGCCATGCACCCTGCGTCACTTCCTGTTGTCCTCCATCATCCCCCGTAGTAGGCCACTCAGGATCAGGAGATGTAGGTCCTCCAGGACTCCTCGCAACAGCCTCATTGCTAGCTCTCCACTCATTATCATTTGGCGCAGGCTGCGATTGTTCATCCTGCGGCCCCGTGTATTGCGTATTTTCCTGCTGGGACGGGCCTGAACCCCACTCATCGTCCACATCCTGCTGTGCCGGCTGATTTCCACCACCACTACCAAAGCCCGCCGCATTATTATCGTCCGCAGTCTGCCCTGTCTGTTGTTGCTCTTTCTGTTTCCTCTTTTGTTTATTCGACATCCGAGACTGATCCCTCGGTCCCCCCGATCCAGACCCCGGCCGATTATCCTGCCATTCATTTGGTCTACTCCTCCCCCTCTTCCCCTGTCTCGACATCATCGATGCCACCCGTGGAGGCAGAGACATAGGCGGACACTGAGACTCAGAAGGCCCAGCCCCAGGAGGCCGCGGCGAAGGACGCCGTGAAGGAGGAGCACGGGAACGACCACGCACAACAGTGACTTGAATCGGGGTGGTAGCTTGAACCTGAGCCTGAGCCTGAGCCTGAAGCTGGGCTTGAGATTCCGATATACGTCTCTTCCGTGTCTTTGCACGCGCAATGAAGAGCTGTGCTCTTGCTTGGGATCGCCACCGCATGGAGTAGAGGTATACGATTCCGGTTATTCCGAGCAGGATTAGCACTATTATGGCTATTATGATGTTGTTGTTCATTTTGTTTTTCTTTTTGAGCGTGTCTGTTTTGGCTGGGTTGTTAGTTTGATTGGGGGGTTCTTTTGTGAGGGTTTGTTTATTGGTTTAACTGGTTGGTTGCTTTTGGTATGGATGGGGGTTGGATTTAGAGACTGGGATTGTGATTGTGGTTCGGGTTGGACTTTGGAGAGGTGAGGATGGATATTGGATTTGGAAATACTGTTGTTGTGATGGTGAAAATCAGACCGGGTTGTGCTCGGCGACCTCCTTCTAGTGAATTAACGTGCAACATCTCATGTTTTGGATCAGTCTCTACGAAAGTACTAGGTGAAATCACATAAAAGGAACAAACAATTGGTATTAAACATGTCTAACTTTTTATCTATCCTAGCCCTCAATACCCAATGCATCCTGAACTCTCACAACCCAGTTATCATGTAGCACTGCCGTTTCCCCATTGCCAAGTAGTCTCTGCAGCTTCTCCTTGAGGGCACCCCGGTCTTCATACAGGTACCCAGAAGCTGCAAACTCATCTGACACCAGCACGGCCGCGAGGCTAATCAGCCTCACGCCCAGGGTGAACGTTTCAGGCTTTGAGGCCCAGCCAATTAGTCCATCCTTTCCGGACTCGTTCGCCATAATATCGACCACATATGATAGGCCGTCAGAGACCCATTTCGAGGTCTCCTTGACTACACGCTCGTTAAAGGCAGCTTCTCTCAGTCCCAGAAGTCTACGGGACCAGATATCGACTTCGCGGATTTCCTCAACAAACAGGTTCTGTCTCTCTTCTTCGAACAAGATCGTGCTCTCCTTTCTCAGTTCGGCAAGTTGTGCCTCTACCGTGGCAAGCTTTGTTGATTCGACAGAGCCGCTGAGTTTCGGTTCCTGTCCGGTGATATAGTGGATCGCTTTGGTGGACAGGAGTTGAGACTCGGGGTAGTTATCGACCATGAAGTCGGCAAGGAGCTGGCCAGCGTTCAAGGGAGACAAGGCAACGGCCTTGGAGGGGGCCACAGAGGAATATGACAGGACCCAGGAGGTTGTTCCGGCAGCCATATCACGCAGCTCTTCGTCATCGTCGCTTAGCATGTCATATAAGATAAGGTAGATCTCCAAGTACACCTTATCCACAAGCGGGGCTTTGCCCTTGCTCCGCAACACACGTGCAAATGCTGTTAGTGAGGTCACTGCAGCATCACGAGTGGTAAATTCCTGGCCTTGGTTAGTAACTAACTTGAGCGAGTAAATTGGAAAACACCACTTACTGTTTCTTCTTCCATGGCGAATCGGAGCTTCGTGGCCCATCTGCGAATGTCCGTCTCGGAGATCTGACCTTGTTTGGAAATAGCCTTGGATGCCAGAAGACATCCTTGGAGACGGATCTCGGCGTCGGATCGGTCTCTGTTCCGTACCTCGCCGTTCGGGCTGGAATTGATATGTTGGTCTAATTCCTCCCATGGTAAGTCCACGTCCTTGAATTTATCATGGTGGAAGTCAAGTAGATCTTCCAAGATAGATGCCAGGGACGAGATAGCCGAGCCCTTCACATCTTCAGGGTATTCGCCCAGGATGATAGAAGGGTACAGTTGCAGTAAGGTCTTTCGGTATTTGTCGTTGGCTCCAATTGTGCCCTGGATCCGCTGCAGCAGCCATACACCGGCATTGGGATCGAACTTCGAAACGGTCTTGACGAATGGCGCCAGCTCATCCAATTCACCGGTCACAAACATTTGCAATACTCCAACCCACGAAAGAGATCTCCGGAGCATAGAAGAAGCGCGAGTTGTGCTCAATGAATTGTAATTCGGGTTCGAAGAATCAAAAAGATACTCTAGGATATCTTGGAATCCATACGAGTCGTATGTGTAGCAGATAGTCATCAACATTTTTTCTGTGTCTTTGATTAGCCACAGATGCAAGTGTTCGAGGGGAGCTCGAATTACCTTCCGTGCCTGACTCGAAGCTCTTCTCCATCGATTCGCCCAGGATCTCCAACAAGGTGTTAGCAACGAATGGAGATTCGGCAATTGGGAACAATGAGGCAAAGATCTGTCGCAAGGCCGCAGATACTTCGTGGATATGTTCTGTAGTCATGTCAACAAATATGATTCACTAAATGGTATGCAAGTATTACTTACCATTCCAGAATGAGAGCGACGCAGCTCCGAACCTGCGCAGAGCATACTTGATAGACAGTGCCTTTCCATGGAGATAGTCCTGAGACTTCGAATCCCGATCAATATCAAGTAGTGCTTGGATATCTTTCAGAATATCAGGGCGATTCAGTAAAGATGCATAAACACGAGCTGCGTGTTCTCTGATGCCCCACACCGGACTATTGAGCTGCTCCCGGACTAGTTCTAGCAGCATCGCGTCGTCTGTATCATAAACATTCGGGACTTTCTCCGCAATGAGTTCCAAAGCTGGGAAGACTCGCTCAGTGACCATTGCATGGTCCCCTTGTTCTGCGTTATTTCTCGCATTCGAAGATGACAGAAGGTCAGATAGCAACTGAATAAGACCCGGATATTTCTGGAAAGAAATTCTACCGCCGGGTTCCGATCCGGAGCTACCGCCGAACCCTAGGCCAGTACCCCTGCGGCACATGCGCGTTAGTAAAGCTCGGAAGAGCATCAATCCAGAATTTCTTAGGTTCCAACTAAAAAGAAGTTAGCCTTCTAACGCTCGTAATTTGACCAAAATGCGTGGTATCACTCACACTGGCGACCCTAGCTGCTCAGCTGACAGGTTCAAAGCGGGCATAATAAACGGCTCCGTATGAGCGGCAACCTTGGTATTGGTGAAGATTTCCTTCAGGCAGTTCAGAGCATGGACTTGAGGTAACTCCATCTCCTGGTTATCGTCATCCTGTTGTACTGGGAGGTGAGATATCTCGAGAAGCTCTTTGATGACCTCTTGGAAGAGCTGCCCTCCTGGGTTAGATGAAAGAATTCCAGTGGCCAGTGCAGGAAGCCCAGCGGAACGACGCGTAAGCTTTGATGCTGTCTCGAAGATAATCTTTCTAGCTTCCTATATCGACGAATAAGCATTCTACTCATCGAAACTCTGTCGTCTGAAATACTCACCTGATACCATTTATGAGGTAGGCTTGCAATCTCAGGATCACTCGACTGTCCACAACGCAAACAACAGGTGGCAAATGTTTGAGACACCGTCGAGAATGCACCCCTATGGCGAAGCTCGGCCAGCTGAGTGAAACTTGCGACTCCTATTGTCTCAAAGTCACCCTTCGTCAAACCTAATTCTCCTTTCGGGCCATACGTCCTATTGGAGAGTGTTGCGTAAAGCAGAAGACTGAAATTGTCAGCGGGAAAGATGAATGTGGAGATCAGAAATTACCTCGACTCCCGGAGTGCACGCCAAGAATACGAAAGGATATCCTTGGGGCCAACGGCTAGATCGTCAATGGGTTCATCGGTGTGGCCTTCCGGAGAATCAATGCAGAGCACAGGTTTCACTTCAACCCAAATCTTGTCACAAACAGCCACTATCCTCGAGTGTACAGCTCGCCAGGCCTCGTAACCTGTCTGTGCGTTCGAAATCAAGACATGAAAGTCAGGAGTCAGGACAATATATCTAAAGAATAATTCAGCTTCAGCGCGTTGGCTATACTCGATATGCAGTATTACCTAAGAGCAGAGACGTAACCGTGTAGAGGCGCATCACGCATAGAAGAGTTGAATAGACCACCTGCAAGGGATAGCTTTTCTTCCAGTTTCTTCAGGAGAGTATCGACAACTCCTTGTTTTGTTTCCCACCAACTATCCGCCACCTTCGAGCTATTGTCGTCTGCTGCTGTAAAGAAGATGTGATACAAGCGAGCGACAGTATCCGCGTGGTCAGCTCTACTAGTGTTACTTGCTAATTGCTCTGCTCTATTCAAGGCGTCCACGAGCTGCGGCTTCTCATGCTTCCTGTTGCTTCCAGATTGCACATAGCCACTTAACAAGACGTCTTGAGGAAACAAATTAAGCAAAGTGAGGGATGTAGCCCGCACTTCCTCATATGGATCCAGTAAAAGGTCTACCAGCAATCTGAGCAGGCTCGGCTCAAATATATCCATGTTGAGTCGCCACTTTGTCACATTTCCTGCCTGTTTGGCAGCGATATGACCAGCGTAACGGGCGTCGAGGCCAGACTCAAGTAGATGGATCAATGTTTTCAATGCCATGATATGACGCGGGTAAGAGGCTGTGGGTCGCAGATCGTCTTTCAGTAGCTCCAGGTATTCTCTCAAGCACTTTTGTGTTTCAGAATCATCACGGGCAAACTTTGGCGGGTGCTTTCTGCTATGTGAGACGTTTGTCTCCGCCAAGCTTTCATGCTCGCTCAGGATACCACCTTTGAGGCGAGGGATCAGTTTGCGTATCAGACTCAGGATTTCTCCTCTAGCATATGGGTCTGCAGATTCAGAGTGCATGGACGGCAGGCCTTTCAATATAGCTCTTATCGTGGCTGAGGAAACGGGCTTTGTTGTCGCAGGTGCCGTGATCAGAAGTGAAAGCGCTGCCATCCTAATACTATGTTCTCTATGGAATAAGAACTGGCCAATCATTTCACTCTTGAGAACTAGCGCATTCTGGGCGTCATTGGTTGAAGACCCCTGTTTGGGAATGTAGTCTAGAAGCATGGTAAGATTAACATCAGAAAGATCAAAACACCTTCTCCACTTACTCTCCTCGTGGACTAGGCCAACCTTCTTTGCCATCTGCAGCGATGCGAAAAGAAGCGTCAGCTCGGGTAAAGGCGCTTCACTCATATCGCCTGCGAGTAAGTTCTTCAGGTGTAGCTTGTCTAAGAATGCTCTAAAGCCTATAGGGTCAAGTTTAAACAAAGGTTGGAGTGTGTAATTAGACATCAGCTCTAGGTTGCCCAGGTTCTGCAGCGCAAGGTGCTTCACTGGAGTCACCCAAATCGACGATAATTTCTGAGAGATCTCTTGAGATGACGGCTCGGACGTGCCAGAACTTTTCACTTTCTGGAAGAATGCAGCCATTAAATCCCCTGATGATGCAGCAAGCTCTGCAGTTTTTGCTTGTGTTAATAATCTCAAAAGAAGGATCTCGGCCACAATTTGTTTCGACTCCGGGCTTGGGGCACTTCCGAGGAAGCGAGTGATATCTATGGACAGAGCTTTGCAATCCTCCTGAAGGAGTGAGATCCATCTTTCACGATTCTCCAGAAGCCAACTCTCCACCATTGAGATAAGCTCAATGGGAGAGATTGAGCCCTTCCGTAGTAGAGTCTCCAAAGAAACGAAAGAGGCCTTAAGTCGCGAGCGAGGCTCGCCCAGGATAATGCTAGGGACGGTTGTCTCAGTAATCTTGGATCGGATAACATCTTTGTCAGTTCCTTGAGGGTTTTTATTAAAGAGGCTGACCAGACACTCCAGGATTTGCCTCATCCCCTTTGGATTTGAATCCTTATAGCGAGCCATGTAAACTTCAAAAACGGCAGACCAAGTCTCGTTGGAACAAGCCAATTTTCTTGTTCCTTCACATTTTGAAGTAAGCGCGGCGTCAAGAAACGCGCTTAACGTATTGCATGAAGCCGTGGTATGGGTGTTAGATGTTGAAGCCGTCGAAAACGTCTTCAATAGGCTCTGCCATACTCGGTTCACTTTGCTTTTTCAATAAGTTAGATTGTGGCAGGCACAAATGAACAGTACAGTCTTACTCGATATCTTCACATGACAGAATATAGTTTACCAACAATCCTTTGCTAATTTCCTTGAGGGTGGCTTCCGGAAGGAGTTGTATATCTTGCGATATCGCCTCCATTTTTTGATACCCGGCGTCACCCGGGCCGCTAGACCCTGCTTGAAGATCCATAGCGTTACCGGGTCCGTTAAGCCCCGAGTAATGGAAAATCCGGAGAGCAAGGATTTTATTTTAATTTCTTAAAAAAAAAGATTTGATATTCAAATGCCCGCCCCCGCGCTGGGGAATCACTTTTCGTGGATTTTCGAGGCGGGTCCACCTAAAGCGGTTAGCGTCGGTCAAAGCTTTTCCCGACACCGGAGAACTGCCCGTGATTACTCGTGACTCGGCCCGTCACGGGGTTGAAGTTTTTGTTCTGGTTCCTTCGAATTTCCAGACTCGCGACGGAGACCAGCAGCGCCAGAGTGGCATACCAACCGTTGTTCATTTCCTCTCCTGTTTTATTACCTTCTTAATTGTATTCATTTTAATAAAACTTTTCTCTTTCAAAATGTCTTTCTGGGACTCACTCAGCGGCCGCAAACAGTCCAAGGGCCCCGAATTCGACCCTTCCACCGCGCAAGATGCTACGTCGTTCCTCTCGGAGGTCGCCATCCCTGATCCTACCTCGCTCCACCCCTTGGCTGGCCTGAACCAGGATACCCTCGATTATATCACCCTCGAAGACTCTGCCCTTGATCAAACACCTGGCTCGCAATCACTTTTGCCATCTCGTGGATGGTCCGATGATCTGTGTTATGGAGCCGGAACAACGTACCTTGCTGGTTTGACCATTGGAGGCGCATGGGGTCTTGCTGAAGGCATGAAGAAGGTGCCTGCAACGGCACCCCCCAAGATTCGCCTTAACGGTGTCCTGAACGCTATCACAAGGAGAGGTCCTTTCCTCGGAAACTCCGCCGGTGTGGTGGCCATGGTATATAACGGCTTTAACTCGGGAATCGGATATGCGCGAGGAAAACATGACTCTGCCAACAGTATCGTTGCGGGTGCCCTAAGTGGTATGGTCTTCAAGAGCACCAGGGGTCTTAAGCCCATGATGATCTCTGGCGGTATTGTGGCTTCTATTGCAGGAGGCTGGGCTGTATGTGGAATCCGTTCGTTCCCTAAGGTTGGAAGTTTCGCTAACTCGATTATAGCTTATGCGCAAGACCCTTCTGTAGATGCCGCTCGTTCCGTTTCGTTGTATTCTAGCACTCGAACCGAGTCGACCTCCATTCGCCAACAGTTGTCCGAAATGATTGTCCATTAAGGGTTTGTTTCAGCAAAGCGGGAGGGTGTTGTTTTTTTTTTAATTTACTTTTGGTCCACGCTGTATTAGAACGATTTTTCTTGTTATTCCTCGAATCTCTTCCCTCCGGCGCTCGAAGCATATGCATTATCCATGGTTGGGACCGGCATGGTAATGGGTCTAAATTTTCCTGTACATATAGCGGTCCCCTGCGTTTATGGGTTCTTGATGGCGAAATGCAGGTTTTATTTCGTCCTGTCTAGTGATCTTAATTCCTTAGGAGCTCACAATGAAAGACTCGATGCCAAAACGAAATCATTCACCTCCGGAGCAATCGCCAACTTTGATGCTAGTACTGCAACAGACAATCTCTGTTTTGCGCGTCTTCCCTGGCCTTCTGGTGCAGTTTGATTAAAAAACGAGAGATCCGGGTGTTCTTGAGTGCTGCACAGGCGGAGTATGTCATGTGCCGCTTTACACCCTGCGGTCAGGTGACCACTGTACATTCAAGCAGCATGGGGTATCAAGTCTCTGCATTTCGGTCGATTAGATACCCATTGGTGGGAGATACACTCGGTGATATTGCGATGCATATTGCTCGCTTTCCAATACTTGTTATGTCCCGAAGCTGATTACTTGGAATCGTGACCACTGTCACACTACTGATAGCGGAGAAACCAAACACAACCCCCAGGTTACATAAGGGTGACATTGCTAATTCCAAGCCATGCGGAGTCTGATACTGATCTGCACGACTATCGTCGGATTTCGCCCGATCTGGATGGATCAACCAGTGAGCTCAATTTATCAAACATTACCCTTGTTCGTGCCGTGCGGGGTTGCAGAGTCCAAGCTCCTCAATCATTGAGATAAGCGTTTGAGCCCAGTATTATCAAGATGCCTCCACTCTAGGAAGGAGTGAACTGATAGCAGTCTCCGGATCTCTAACGAAAAATCACGGTTTGTTTGTTGTCTGTCAGACAATAATCTCCCGGCATACGAATAAGATAAGGTCCAGCAAAGCCCGGTTATTTCCTATTCTCTACTAGTAAAAATCGCCCATTTATACTAGACATGAGACTGAACCCCACCTCTCCTCTGCTATGGAACGTCACTCCACGCGAAGATCACTAGGACAGGTCTAGGGTGACTACTGTTGATTAGTTGTAACCTTTTGCCGATATATCCAAGCGAAGTGTTGATAGCAACAGTGCACCACGTTACATAGCTTGGATGCTACCAAAATTTGGAAACCGGGCCTTAAATAGCGAAGAAAGTCATGGAGGTGTCTCTTAGACTTCTCTTGATCAATCTCTCCACTCCAAAGTCATATTTGTATTTTCCGTCATTATGTTTTGGGGTCAACTTGTTAATATAGGTCTTTTCCTTTCCCTTTCTATAGGAGGTACGAGCTACGAATCTATATCGTGACAACGTCTCACAAACTGCAGGGTACAGCCGATTCGTCGCTATCCCAACTATACCGTTCAATGGAACGAACGGTATCTATTCCCTGGCTCGACTCACCAGTATTGTGGTTGATGCGCGCTATGCCGATATTGTAGATAATGATGGTGCAACCCAAATCCCACCTACGTTGCAACAATTCGCCGAGACTTTCCAGAAGGACCTCCAGTCCACAGTAGGGATTGATATACCGCTCACGTCTAGCAGGACGGCCGCGGCGAATTCAATCTTCTTCACGCTTACCAATGACACCGGATTCCATGATGCTGCCGGGAGATATACCTCAGAAGCATACACCCTAACAATAAACGAGAATGGTGTGAAAATAGCTGGAGCCAGTCCACTAGGTGCTTGGTGGGGATCGCGGTCATTGATTCAGGCGGCGGCCGTCAGCGGCGACGCCCTTCCTCAAGGATCTGCAGTGGATGCGCCTGGGTGGGCTAATAGAGGTATCATGGTATGTGACTCGCTTGCTGAACTACTCCATTGCGTCGTTACATACTTTAACTCTTCCTCAGTTGGATGCTGGGCGCCACTTTTACCCCCCTGAATTTCTGGTCGAAATGTGCGCATTCCTATCCTTTTTCAAACAGAATGCATTTCACGTGCATTTGAGCGACAATCTCTACAACAACGTAGATCGGTATTCTGCTCAGCAGTCGATGGATCTGTACGCAGCATTCCGCCTATGGTCGGAGGATCCTGCGGTAGCTGGGCTCAATAAGCGCGCCAATGAATCGTATACCAAGGAACAATTCGATACCGTCCAACAACAGTGTGCCCGACGTGGTGTCACTATTATCCCTGAAATTGAAGCTCCAGGTCATGCGCTGGTCATCACCCAGTGGCGGCCTGAGCTAGCCCTTGACGATCTCAGCATGCTCAACATTACTCACCCAAATACTATTCCTACTATGAAGGCCATTTGGAAGACCTTCTTGCCCTGGTTCCACAGCAAAACCGTTCACATAGGTGCAGACGAATATGACAAAGATCTAGTGGCAGATTATACATCTTTTGTTAATACGATGCGGGACTATATCTTCAAAGAATCGGGCAAGGACATGAGAATCTGGGGCACCTTCATCCCATCGCAGGGTGCCAATGTGTCCACGGACGTCTCCATCCAGCATTGGGAGTTCTTCGAGGATAATCCTTACTTCGACTACATCAAGAATGGATATAATGTGCTCAATTCGGACGATGCGTTCTACATTGTAGGCAAATGGTCCGGTAGCTACCCATCCACGCTGAACAAGACTCGTGTGTTCTATGGGAATCCCGCCGGCGGGGCTTATGCTCCCAATATCTTCGACACCAAAAATACCACCAACAATCCTCCTCGGAATGACCCTCGCATCCTCGGTCACGTTGCGGCTCTATGGAACGATTATGGTCCAAATTCTACCACGGTCCTTGAAACATATTATTCGTGGAGGGATACGCTTCCAGCCTTGGCCGACAAACAATGGGGCGGAAGCATTCTAGAGGAGGAATATGATGCAGTATTTGACAAGATCCACGCTGCAATCCCTGGGCAAAACTTAGATCGTCGTGTACAGAGTCACACTGATACCATACTACATTATAAATTCGACAAGAACAGCGAGACTGTCGGTGACCATTCTGGGAACGGCTATGATGGAAGCATACAAGGATGCCACGTCCAAAACTCCACTCTCGTACTTTCCAACGGCTGTTATGTGAACACCCCATTAGGGAGCAAAGGGAGAGACTACACGTTATCATTCTGGGTGAACCCCACGTCACAAACCCCAGGTACCCTCTTTGCCGGACCCGACTCGGCCCTTCTAAGCGGAAACGGGTCGATTAGCAATATAACTCTGATAAGCGGTGGCAACCCATACTCACTCAACTACAGTCTTCCTCTTAATACGTGGACCCAAGTGCAATTAATTGGAAAGGGCAATCGAACTCTGCTCAGAGTCTCCGATTCGGGTGCAGGATCTACAAGTCTGGAGTTTCTTGCGCGTCTAGGGATCAATGGCGAAAGCCAAGTTTGGGCTCCAATTGGAATCGAAGCCCCTCTAGCCCGCATAGGGGAAGGTTTCAAGGGGATGATGAAAGAGGTTGTTCTACGAGGGAGTGTTGAGTGAAGGGGTCTCATAAGATCTGTTTTCATGGGTTTTGTGGCATGGGCATACTTTACAATATAATACCGAAGGTTCTTATATACAGAACAGCAATTATATAATGCTCTAGCAGAATTCAAGATATACACTCTTCCACTGAGTAATCTTACAATGAAAACAGCAATCACGAAGAACAAACAAAACGATAGCACTAAAAGCCCACGAAGGCTTTCGCCAAGTTCCAAACCACAGGACCACAGTCAAAGCCGAGCTGACTCGCCACCCCCCTATCCAAGGACTCTAATCCCTCCAAATCAACCCAGAGATATGTCTAAATCAACAGCCCAGCAGTAGATCCAAACAGCAAGAGCGCAAGCACCCCAATCGACTTCTTGGCCGCAGCAGCATTGGTGGTAGAAGTCGAGGTCGCACCAGTAGTACCCTTCGTCCCACTTGCAGTCGAGTCAGTAGCAGAGGCAGTAGCGACGATAGTGCCAGCGCCAGTTGTAGGAACGCTGCCGGTGGCGGTCGCGTTAGCGTTAGTGTTGCACCACACCTCTCCGGGTTCGGATGCTTTGATGAGACATTCTGCCAGGTCGCCGACGTTCTGGCCCTGAGCCAGACAGTAGTAGTCGCAGTCGCTATAGGAGACAACGGAAGCGGACAAGCAGCAGCTGCTCATGATTGCAGAGTTGTTGCCCTGCATCGGCATTGCGCAGGCGGCATCTTTCACGGGGATCTCGTAGAGTTTTTGGTGGCAGGTTGAGGTCGCGGAGGCGGCGGTGGTGGTTGCGGTTGATGTAACGGACATTGTAAACTTAGGGAATGTGTATTGGGTTCTGGATGGATGGATGTTCTGGTAGAGGAGTGTGTAAGGTTGCTTCTGTAATGCTACTGGGGTTAGAGAGGGTCTCTGTGGGCTTTATAAAAGGTATAAGGGCCTAAGATCAAAAATCCATGGAACCCAGCTCCCTTGGGCCCCGCTTCTAAGCCACTATCGCTAGAAGTTTGTTCCTGAATTGTTTCTAATCTAAGAGTATCTCAAGCTAGTGTCCTTCAAGCCCCATTCCTTCGAGATTGTGGCGACTAGTAGAGTATGTCAAGCACGGATATGCTTGAAGCGAGTCAATCTACTAGCTCACTATTGTATAGCGGCCAATAAAACATACAGATCGGACTCACAGCTCTTCACTGGTTTTTCTTGGCTTTAGACAAGAATAGCCATGGCTGACGCGGCCCTGATACCAGCTAGCATGATACTACTATAGTTGACTAGGTCACATCGGCTACAGATGGAAGATATAACTTCAATGTAAGACATGTGGAACCAGGGGTATCCAGTGATGGGCAGCAGAAATAGTGCAGGGCTGTGTCTTTCTCCGAAGATTCGTGGGTGTGCTCGGAGATCGAGGTAGCATTGCCGATACACCCTATGTAAAATTCCGCTTGTGGATAAGTTATAACTTCAGTAGAGCCGCTTACTAAACGATTTCTGCAGTTTCATATATCTATTATTGGTTCGTTCCTGGTTTTATCTTGGATCTATTGTTTGACCCGTCACCTAACATCCTTGGGGGTTCAACCACGAAGTACAAAAACCCGGGCCGAGTTCTCGGGATAATCGGGCATGTGTATGTATGGCAAAGTAAGGTTCACCCGGCTCCGCTAAACGTTGCCTAGAGTGCTAAGGTTTGGAAGTTTAAAGTGGGTATATGATTACATACCGAGATCTCTACGGAGAGGAGTCCTACTAGATACTCTTACTTTAAACTTGAACTACAATGCCGTTACTGGGAACTACGGGGTTCGTGTGGATGAAGCCAGGAGAAAAGCTTTTGCTGGATTGAGCTGTGTCTCTCAATTATATCTAGTTAACAGATCTCACAGTCCCTTGGCACCCCATAGGATATATATAGTACGCAATACAGAGCAGACTGTGGGATTGTGGGTGGATGTGGGTTCTGTGGAGAAGCGGATAAAGACTATTCACACCACCGCTGAATGGAAGTTATACCCATAACTATCAGAAAGGACAAATAAAAGAAGGGGAATGGGCATGAATAAATTCCAGCAGGAATAATCATATATCTCTTGAGAATGCAGAAATGATATCAGGATATGGGAGCAAAAATTGAAGTGCAAAAAAAGTAATGGTCCCAGAGAGGCTCGAACTCTCGACTTCTGAGTTATTAGCTCAGCACTCTAACCGACTGAGTTATGGGACCAATTGTTGAAGGATTGCTTTTCTAATTATTAATATTAACCAAGATTTTTTGGATAAAAGCCTTTCCCAGACGCGCCATAGTTGGTCGAGGCACGGTATGTATCGAATAATAATGCCTTCACCTACACCAAATGTCTTTTCGAATATTCAGTGTAATTCACTAGGATTTTAAAGCGACGGTAGCTATTAGCAAAGACATAAAAGATACATCTTCTACGTCACTGCCTACTCAAAGCCCGCCATATCCCATCTTCATGTTCTTGGGTAAAAAATATATATCTCCTGTACCCTGGCAATCAGGCAAACCTGTCAGTCAATCTAACCATCAGTGCTGGTTTATCCCAAATAATAAAAATCCTCTGCCTATCCCAATTCTCACTCTCCGCAGTGAGGACTATGTCGAAATTGAACAGCAATTTGGACAACATCAAACGCATCTCCATGTGTGCCAAGCTTTGCCAGATGTTAGCGGATCGAGAACAAAATACAGAGAGTATGAGAACGAACTTTTTGCCCAGGCAATCTCTGGGGCCCAAACTAAAAGGCTGCACCACATCCTTTCTGTCAGAGTCGAACCTATCGTCAGTCCCCAGCCATCGCTCGGGAATGAATTGCTCGGGGAACGTGAAGTTTGCTCTAGTATGGTATGATGCGTAATGGTGGGTGGAAACGGTTACCTGTACGATGTTAGTTTTTGGGACGAGCAAGAAGCATCAAATAGAATTTGAATATACGTTTTCTGGAACAAAGTGGCCTTCAATTGTACACCCGCCTTCAGGGACTAGTCGTGGAAGGCTTGCCGCCACTGGTGGATACAGACGGAGGGATTCTTTAAGGACTGCGTTGAGGTAGCTAAGGTGGAAACATTTGGGTGACGTGATTTCCTCATCTTTAGAAAATGTGGTACGGATCTCCTTACTGAGTCGGTCCATAATGTCCTTATGTTTGCAGAGGTAGAAGAGACATCCAGATAGCAGCGACGCCGTCGTTTCGCTCCCTGCGATGGTAATACTGTCTGCGTTAGCCGCCACGAAAGAGAGCTATAGAAATGGTCATATGTACTTACAAGATTGAGTTTGCGTGGATCTCCGCTCTGCTCATGAGAGGCTGGTTCTCGATGAACTCTTCCTTATCGTCACTGAGCCCATGTTTTAGAATGGCGGACACGAAGTCAGGGCGAGAGGCTCCTTTCTGAAGCCGGCGGTCTGCTTTCTGGGCACAAAGCTTGTGATTTTCCAGCATTTTCCGTTTCAGAGATTTTGGTAAGAGAGCCCCTTGTATCTTCCTATACAGTGCATATTCGTTCAACACTCCAAGAAACGCGACACCCTTCACGTTGTTGAACATGAGAGCGATCCACGGATGCAGTTGACTGTCCTTGAGACAATCGAAGGTCTCTGCGAACATAAGATCACCGATAATATCGAAGGTGGTGAAATTGAACCAGCTTCTGAGGTCTTCTTCTGCTATATGAATTTTATTAACATTAGTTCTCTCTCGTAGCCGCTGGATAAAAAGATCAACATAAGATACGACTATCCCTTCCTGTTCACGTAGACTCCGCTCAGAGAAGGCATGGGACAGCAATCGTCTGTGCCTAGAGTGTGATTCGCTATCGATATACCCGCCAATGCTGTTACTAATTCCGCTCAACGGCGACCCATACAACTTAGGATCCTTTTGAAACTGCGGCTGTCCACGACGGAGGCCGTAGATGTCTCGAAAGCCTTGGGGGCTGTTGAATGAGAGCTCATTGGGGCCAACTCGCACAACAGAGCCGTAGTGATGATGAAGGGCCAACATTTTCAAATGGCTATGGCCTCCCAATATGCTTATCTGGCGAGGGATATTGGACACGGCCCAGAGCCTTGGTCCAGGGAATGATGCCAATGGAGAACGGAATAAGTTATAAATAGTATCGTATACCACGTAGCATATAAGCTTATTAACCGTCAACTCTGTGACTCAGGATGCAAGAGAAATGATGCACATTGCTGTAGGATAGACGTACTACCAAGGATGCAGCGGCTGCCACCCAAAAGCTGCTGCCATATGGCTGGCTTAAAGTGTTTAAAAAGTACTCAGCTGCAAGAGCCATAGTCATTATGCTGATTGAATTCGCTACTTATGTCTGTTTGCTTGAATGAAAGATTTTGTAAGTTGTTGAAGGGATCTCTAGCCCCTCTCAGCGAAGGCGACATGCTTGCTCCCTTATATCTCCTCCACACACTATAGTTGTGGGCAAGCTTCTGAACCTGAACTAATGCATTCCCCCGAACGCCGTGATTAATCCAAGCGGACCCGAAAAGATCTCGCCCTTCTCGAAGAGTACTGCTATGGATGAAAAGGTAGTGATTGGCATAGTAGATCCATGCGCGAGAAGCAACTAACCCTTGGCAGCATTACATAGTATTGACAACCTTGTACGAAGTCGTAACCCATGTAGGTTAGGACAGGCCATGCCTGTCAACTGTTACCTTAGAGATAATTTCCGGGCAGGCAGACTTTCAAGGAAAGGACTGAGACAATGTACATCTTACAATGATGAGAACATCGACCGTGATCTAAGAATGATACAATGATTTAAATATCATTGTGCGCTTACATGTCTTCGTATTGCTAACTCAATACAGACGGTCTACGGAGAGCATCTGTGATGCAGAATTGGACAACCACCACGATATATTTACGAGATACTAACCAGTCACCGAACATAGATACGGAAGTTATCCCCAAAGTGCAGCTAAGGCGACACTAATGCATTGCTCCAGAGTTTCTGACACTTCAGCACGGTGGCTACTTGAGTTGATCAGCGCATTGTCGGCTAGGTGAGGGGTAAATTCGGCATTTAGAGTCTTCATAAATGAAGTGTGACAACAGCTTGCAGAATTGATGCACGGCTTGATCTCATATCCACCACACCATATTTGAGCGTATAAGTTAGGATTGGGATCGTGTCACCTACCGTGGGTTGCTGACTTCCTTTGAATTAGCGGTGCCTGTAAATACTGAGCTTTCATATATAAGATTTAATTAAGCCTTGTTTAACTATATGTAGCTGACTGTTAACCATAGCTCATTTATGCTCATAAGAAACTCTGGAGAAATTGTTGCATCGTCTCGACAAGGTGTGTGGGGCTCTAGCTGTCAACCCGTTATTGCAACAGCACTACTGCATCATATGAGGGGCGTCGCATGCACCCTTGCTGAAGACGACCAACGAGAGGACTATTATTAAAGTACTCTGACCATTTCGAATGCAACACGGGTACACTCTGAGTCACGCTGTGTCAAAAGCACCGTTCTTGCTGATTCATTCGGGCATATCCATGCTAGCAATATAGCTTTTATCGCACCTAATTAGTCAAATAGGCATTTGATTGCCACGGATATGAAACAAAAAGTACTAATTATTTGAATATCATGTTGAATAAATATTGATTATATGATGGCAAGGCCAACAGAAAAGGATAAATAGTGTAGTTGACGGTGAAGTTATCTCAACAGAATGGCAAAGAGCATACAAAATAATACAAGGCCTTGGTATAGGTAAAAGAGTGTTATCGTGACAGAAACGACCCGACCCACAAGAAATGGACTGTTTATTCTGTGTCTAGAACTGATCATCTGCTCATTGCGACACGGGCATTTGCCAAGAAGATAGAAGGTGTGAGGGGTCAATCTCGACCCTTGGTCTGCGGTCATATTGACTCATACCGCAGATAATATATCCGAGGAGGAAGTAAAGATAATGATCGTCACGTCAAATTGCAATCATGAGTCTCGATGCCCAGGACCACCACAAGCTATCGACATGAACATGGCTTATTCAGGAAAGCGTTTGGCCTTGATATCTTACAATAAGACACAATGACATAAATTGAACGACTTCGGCCACCAGCCATGTAATTCGAATAGAAAGCCTCATTTGTGGGCTATCATACCTTTTTCGGTGGCACACATAAACATCTAGCAGTAGCCACCGGGTCTGATGGCCAATCGCAACCTTCATAGTATGCCTACGGTGAGATGGATAGTGGGCTAGGCCTGAGTCGAATGACAAGGTATTATGCTGCAAGCACCACTCTTGGTGATGGTGCTCACCTCCCATCTCCCTATCAATGGTCTTGTCCAGATATTAGAACGGCCAATGACCAACTGGTCCAACTTCGGAGCCCATCGCCTACGGGCAAATTAGTTCGTCTCACGCATTCTATGCACGGAGTGAACTCACGGCATTGCTTCTCTAGTGCCTCTGATCGTCTCCATCTAAGCGAGTCCTCTATTACCTCGGGCTGAGAGATCGCCTGGGAGGTCACACGGAAATTATCGCGACAGCTGCAGACATGGATCAAAAACCCCTTCGTGCTGCCATACTGGAGCGCGATGCACTGGCTTTCGCGTTGTATATGTGACAGGTTACACTGTAACGTAGTCAACCAGTTTATGCGAATGGAATGGCTATAATCAGGATACTCTTTTTTCATAAGTTTAACCCTAATCGAATGATGCGTTAGCAGTTATAAGTGCAACGATCCTACTAATTGGGAAATGAGACATCATTCTACCAGGACAGCCTTTAACAAAAAGGCCGGAGCCCAGCTTTCAGAAAACTATTCACTCTATGCACCTTTAGAATTCAACCATATACCGCATCTTATTAAACAATCATATTAACTAACTCATCGGGGCCCGGGCCGGCCCCTGTGCTCATTACCACTTTGAGTAAGGTGCTGCGCTTGAACACAAAGAAGCCAAACGTTGGGAGCAGTCTACCAATCACGGGCTCACTGGTGACTTATTATTATTAGGGTTTTTCGTTACACGAAAATGCCTTATTTAGACCTCATCGTTGAGCCTTCTCTTTATGGTGAATGTATGTATATGGTACATGGCTGTTGATATCGTCATTCCAGTGTATACACTTGGCAGCACCCTACCATCGACGACCTTGGGTTTCTCGGATCATGTCTACCGGACAATACGTGATTAATTAGTTGTTGCCCTGGTTGATAGTTTTCTCAGTATCTTATGGTACAAGAATTTTCAGCTACAAGATAGCAGCTGGACTTGGGCAGTTGCTGTTCATCGAAGCCCATGGCTCGACCTTGTGCCTCAAATTTCCTCGTGTAACATACTGATGGCTGGTCTGTAACCTCTGTACCTATTAGGAATGATTGGTCGATAATCTCTTGCATTCATCTACGAGATGGAAAAGCCTCTAGAGCTTATTCAGGCGCAAGCATGATGATCCATATCTGATCACGCAACAAGGCTAACAAGATCTAGCATAATGTGGAATTCAGGTACGGTGATGGAGATCGCAAACTACCATTTTTGTTCTCACATTCCAGTTAATAAATTGCGTACATTCTTGAGTTAGAAGCATAAGCTCCGTTGCGAGGTTTGCGGTCGTATCGTTGAGCAAACCTTCTCCCTCCAAAAATAATTTTATATGGAATGTAATTGCTAAACGGGTCGGGGTGAAGGGTTTTGTTGTTGCCCAGGTAAAAGTGATAGGGTCGCTGGTGAAGGATCAAACCTGCATTCAGCTTCCGTATCTGGAATCACCAGTATGCAACGCAACACAGTAACATCGGCCCTGACGCTGAGACGTTTCCATCACCAGCTTGAACGGGGATTGCCTCTGGGGACAAAGCACTGCAACAGTAGCAAACGGTGGGTGCAACGGTATCAGGGCTAGAATTGAAAATTTTCGTCAGTCCCAGTCTAAGGGTTAGTGGCCCCTTTGCATACTCATAAGCGGCCACGCGGCTGTCGGTGGAGGGCCTTAAATTCTGAATATACGACTATGAAAACCGTTAGGGCTGATACCCTGAGTCTGGGTTAGTTGGGTCCGGCATCCAAGTGGCCCATCAAAGCTTTTGCTTAGCAACGTAATGTGTAGTGGGACCTATAATTACCCGGAAATGAGACATCTGTCGAACTAACGTGTTCTGGACCGTGAACTGAGCGAAGAAAGCCCGGTGAATGTTTTCGCGAGGCCTCTGGCAAGTATTTATCCTTCCAAGATCCAGGGACACTGATCTCATACCATGACGAGATTTTGATCCACGTCATCCGCGAAATCTACTACTACGTAGCATCATTGGCAGATCTTCGGTCGACTTGGGTCAGCAACAGACGTGTGGGGCGTATAATCATGGCATTGACCAACCGGATCCAGTAAGCTAGACATGCTTGCCAAGAAAACGCTCACCAGCCATTCATTCGAAAGCAATGCGCTCGTCGGCCCGAAATGCTGGGTTAACTGGGCCTTTCAATAGCTCGTTGTCTTGGCGATCGCCGAGGGATCCCCTGTTTCAATTTTCCCCGTGACGAATCACAGATTTAAAGGACCAAAAAGCAAACCTAGTGAGTATCAAACAGCTTACGTAGACTTGGAGGCACAGTCGTCGATCTTGAAGCAAGTAACCGAGGGTAACCCTTCACAATTTCAGAGCAATCAGATTCAGGGTACAATCGACGGAGTTAATTTTGCCCCCTCAAGCGGAACTAACGCAGACGCTAAGGTAGTGTGGCCGATGATGTGCACTGTGCGTCAAATCAACTCGACAGATGATAAATAACGACTCGTCGCGTCGAAAATGGGTCGGAGATTTGAAACCATGGAATGCGGTTTGACCCGAAATTTCGGCAGCAAGTTGAGTCCAATCGACCTTTGGGACACTGGAATGCGGAATTCGAGAACGTCTGTCCGCTTTCCACTTGCAATTGGGGTTGTTTTAGTGTTATTTCACAAAGAACCACTTTCCCGGTCTCTGAGACCTAATCCGGCTTAGTTTCACTTAATTCAAGCTTAGCCTAGATGAGACTGGGTCACTTGCGGTTCATGGATCATTTGCCATTCAACGAATGTCATTGCGCGTTGCCCGTTTAGGATTTCTTGCAGCTCGCAGGTTTCCTAATTGGGAAATACGTAGTTGCTCGAGCTTCGTAGTACTACTTTTATTAGTCCTTCTAAGCTCTTGTGGTTTGTTGAGAGGCAAGGATAAACAATAGTGCCGTTAAAATTGAAGGATAAATAAAGGTTTTTTTTTTTTTTTTTTTTTTTTTTTCAGAAATAGCCCCGTCTCTAGTCAGTGGATTTATGGTTAATTGGGCCGTGTGTACTGTATATATATGATCAAGAATACAATGCCAATAAATGAGACCGGGGAATATGTTTTTTTTTTTTTTTTTTTTTTGTGCAGTATCAAACAGGCTACCCGATCTAGAGGATATGCAAGGCACCACCACTAAAATCATAGTCAAAGAAAGAAAGAAAAATTCATCACCATGTAAATCAATGGATCAATAGTATGTGTACTACAAAGAAAAAAGAGAAAAAAAAAGAGAAAAAAAAGAAAAAGAAAAAGTGGAAGAGAAATTCCAAGGAGTGGGTCCTGCCAGAAAGTCTCCTGTCAGCCATGATCCATCACAATTCCAGCCACTGACTTCAGTGTGCCTCGATTACGGATTAGTCGTTGCATCCCCCCCCTGTACTCCGAACTTTTCCCACGATCTCCGAGCAGACTAAGCCTCATGAAGCTTCCATTTCCAGGAAGGGTCCGATTTAGGTGAGAGAGAATACTAAAAAGAACCGATACGATCTTGATATGGAAGGGAACAGTGGTTCCTCTTTTTGGTCTTCCCGCCAACGGCATTACTGGATGCGGGGTAGCGTTAAATCCTGTTGAGTCTTCACCTCGTGGCCACTATGCCTAAAGCAGAGCGGTCATCAGCTGACCCCGCGTGGGTTTTTTTCCTGTAGCGTCATCCAAAGTAACAGCTACTGCGAAACTTAACGCTTTGCATGGATACTGGCCCCGGGAGAGAGTGTATTTAGCCCTTGGGAAGGACAACCATTCCCGTCCCCGACCCTAGTTTTGCCTCTTCTTGATTCCCCGACTAAAAAAAAATTAAACCCACCCAATTTCCTTTCCCTTTTCACCATTATCTTATCTCTTCTCCTCTTCTTCCCTTTTCTATCGTCGCCACTTCCTTTCCCCTCCCAAATGCTTTGATAACACAACCCATTAATTACCGTTCACCCCCGGTTTCAACCAATAATTTAGGCCTGAGGGCCTTTTTTTTTTTTCACCAAGTTCAGCTTGGTCTACTTAGAGTTTAACCCGAGGGACCTTTTAGTTAGCGGTTACCCGCCTAGTTCGAGTGACAACTGCGCTTTGGGTCCACTTTGCGCCGCGACAGCAGTGCCCTTCCGCTAAATAGAGCCATTGGGATATCGCAGCTCTGAATTCCCTGACTCGTTCGATGATTTCCCCGGATTCTTCTCAACCGACCGATAGGTCAGCATTGTTTGCTAAACAGCCTATTCAGTTACACGAAGCTTCTGCTACAACGGCTTCGAGTAACAATGAAATCTCTTCGGTGCCTTCGGTGAGCTTTGGAGTAGAGGGCATCTGCTCTCCAGTATCCTTGAATGGGGAATTCTCACCGAATATAAAGGATGAAATGATTCACCAATGTCACCCCGGAGCTCCACAGCCCCTTCCGTCGCTTCATATACGAACGGACCTGCCACGCACAGCGCAACTGAGCCCGTCGAAAGAATCCGACCCTTTCATGCATCACAGCCTCTCGTCGAGCAGCCTCCCGCGAAGAACATCGAGTTTGCGTGGCTTTCTCGAACGGCCCTCGTCCGGAGGAGGTTCCCTGTCTCCGGCATCGTTACTGTCATCGCCACAGCTGATGGCCATGGGAGATATCACTCCCTTGCCTTCGCCGATCGGTGGCGTTTCGCCATGGAAAATACCACGTCGCAATTCACAGTCGTTATCTCGGACCCCATCACTCCTTTCGCGCAACGGCTCGAGCCTGAGCTTGCGTTTGAGTGACTCGTCTCAAGTGCTCGGGCCCTCAGAATGTCGATCGCGAAGCAAGCAACGTGGTATGGCGGAGATGTTGGGTGCTGACAAGCATGCAGAGACACCCAGCAAGCCGCGCCCTGATGGAGCTCCGAAGCATGCTCGTAATCGTAGCCTTAGTGAGTATGTCCCTCCAACGAAGGCCATTCCGATCAAGCCGCGTCCAATCGCAGTTTCGGGATCGGGTGCGACTCAGGGGATCTTTTCATCGTCAAGTACCGACTCGAAATCAAATAACATGCACCGGGAACAGCACCTGGCGATTCATCGCGGCATCGCGTTACCCGCAGTCCGTCCTCCCACGCCGCCAAGAAGTAGTCGCAGTACATCTGACGGTGATGTGGAGCCCGTCATTCTCAGCCCACAATCCATGGATGGCTCGGATGAAATATACTCGGTACGTTCCATTCGGTCCCAGCAGCCGCGTAAATATCGCAAACTGCGCGAGCTCGGACAGGGCACATTTAGCCAAGTATGTTTAGCAGTACGCATGGAACTGCAGGATGATATGGATTCTGGTTACAGTTCAAGTCTCCAAGGGGTGAATGCCGCTACACAAAAGCTCGTCGCTGTGAAGGTCATTGAGCATGGCCCAGCAGGTGGAGCTGATGAGGAACGATTGGAGGTATCGCTCAAGCGGGAAGTGGAGATTTTGAAGTCGGTCAACCATCCATCACTTGTGCAATTAAAAGCGTTCGGAAGCGATGAAAAGCGCGCTCTTTTGGTCTTGGATTACTGCCCAGGAGGTGACCTGTTCGACGTCGCAACCTCTGGACCGAGGCCCATGAGCCCAGCGCTCATTCGACGGATCTTCTCTGAGTTGGTGGCCGCTGTGCGCTACCTGCACGCCAACTTCATAGTCCATCGGGACATTAAACTAGAGAGTAAGAGATTCCACCGTGGCCTGGATTGACCATCGTGCTTACCAGTCGGACCAACTACAGATGTCTTAGTTACTCTTCCTCCCGCTGCTATGGAGGAGATAACTGATTGGCGTACATACGATCGCGCAGTCGTTACCCTTACCGACCTGGGTCTATCCAGACGAATCCCGCAACCTCCGGAGAGCCCGCTCCTCCACACCCGATGTGGAAGCGAGGATTATGCCGCCCCGGAAATTCTGATGGGACAGCCCTACGACGGGCGGTCTACCGATGGCTGGGCCCTTGGCGTCTTGCTCTACGCAATGATGGAAAACCGATTGCCGTTTGATGCTTTGCCAGGTACTCGAGGGGACCCGGCGAAACTCCGTGCTCGTACCCCACACCGCATTGCGCGATGTGAGTGGTCGTGGTATCGGTATGCGGACAATGACGGTGAATGGGATCCCCAGAAGGGGAAAGATCTAGAGGGGGGCCGTGAGTGCGTTGAAGGGCTACTAAAGCGGAATACTAAACGCAAAAGCTTGGACGAGATTGCATCAATCGAGTGGGTTGCGAATGCAATTGATGTACCGGGTGGGTTGAAGAGAGGTGACAAAGAGGTACCGTAGAGCTGGTCTCTTGGTTTATATTTCACCACTCTTCCTGCCGGTTTTCTATATTGCCTTGTTACGTGATACAGAGACGAGCACCGGGGCGATGCACTGACAGTGTTCCTGTATCTCTCTTTTCTTTCTCTTCTTTTTTCTTTTTTCTTTTTTTCTTTTTCTTTTCCCATTTTTTCTCCTTCTTTCTGTATTTTCCCTTCTTTTCTTTCTCCTCTCTTCTTTCTTCCTACTTCTCTTTCTCTTCTTTTCTTCCCCTCTATAACATTTCCTCATTTCATTCGCTTGCTTTGGCTAGCCCAAAGAACCGGTATACCCTTAGAACTATTTTTTTTTTTTTTGCTCTTCCTTGCCCCTTATATCGTGTACTTGCTTTCTTTTTATTCTTTTCATTTCTCTTTTTTGACGGATATACAATACTTATGACAAAAGACCGCAAGGCAAGAGGGTGGTAGAAGGCAACAATCGCAGGTTCTAGATGGTTTCAAAAAAGAGTTTAAGTGTATAATAATTAATTATAAACACAATACAAACACGACTGAAGATGATTAGAGGTTCATTGCTGTCACTATTTTGTGTATGTATACTCGTAGGTAATTGAGTAGTAGTCAATGACGCATGATTGGCCTGAGTGCTGACAAACTACGGCACGGGATTGGGCCAACCGGCATCGGGGAGCCTGAGGCTAACTCCGGCCCCCGACTTCGCTGCGGAGGAACGGGCATCACTCGCGACGACCCGCTCCACTTTCTGTAGAGTTCAGAAGCTATTTATTCTCTTTCAATTGAGTTCCTAATTGCCCTTGTGTGTCATTTCCACGGACCCCATACCCCTCAAACTGCGATTATGCTTCTTTCACAAACTCGGGGGCGTATGCCCTCTGCTCTGCGGAGCCTCTCCAGGCGGTCCGCCGTCAATGTGTAAGGCGATCGAACGAATTGCCCTTGCTCATTCTCCGATGGCAGGTTGCTGATTGATTTTCACTACTAGTCGTCCCCTCTCTACCACCCTCCCCAAGCAAAAGGCCTCTTCCGAAGACGACAACGCTCTGAACAAGGTCTCCCGCCATGTCACACAGCCCATCTCGCAGGGTGCTTCCCAGGCCATGCTTTACGCTACAGGTCTCACTGAAGAGGACATGAACAAGGCTCAAGTCGGTATCTCCTCCGTTTGGTATAGCGGTAACCCCTGTAACATGCATCTGCTTGATCTCAACCACCGCGTCAAGCAAGGTGTGGAACAGGCAGGCTTGATCGGCATGCAGTTCAACACCGTCGGTGTCAGTGATGCAATCAGTATGGGTACGAAGGGTATGCGATATTCTCTTCAGAGTCGTGATTTGATTGCCGACTCTATTGAGACTGTCATGGGTGGTCAGTGGTACGATGCCAACATCAGTATCCCGGGTTGCGACAAAAACATGCCCGGTGTGTTGATGGCCATGGGCAGAGTCAACCGGCCGAGTATCATGTTGTACGGAGGCACCATCAAGCCCGGCTGTGCCGCTACCCAAAACAATGCCGAAATCGACATTGTCTCCGCATTCCAGGCCTACGGACAGTTCCTGAGCGGCGACATTACCGAGCCTCAGCGATTCGATATCATCCGTAACGCCTGCCCAGGAGGCGGTGCCTGCGGTGGTATGTACACGGCCAACACCATGGCCACCGCCATTGAGACTATTGGTATGACCCTTCCTGGCTCTTCTTCCAACCCTGCCGAGTCCCGCGCCAAGGACCTTGAGTGTCTGGCTGTCGGTGGGGCGATCAAGAAGCTTCTGAAGGAGGACATCCGCCCTCGGGATATCATGACCCGCCAGGCTTTCGAAAACGCCATGGTTGTGGTGAACATCACCGGTGGTTCGACCAACGCTGTGCTGCACTTGATTGCCATCGCTGATTCGGTCGGCATTAAGCTGGATATTGAGGACTTCCAGTCCGTCTCTGACCGTATTCCTTTCTTGGCTGATCTGAAGCCATCGGGCAAGTATGTCATGGCCGACATGCACAAGATCGGAGGTACCCCCGCGTTGCTCAAGTTCCTGCTCAAGGAAGGCCTCATCGATGGTTCCGGCATGACTGTTACTGGTGAAACTCTCGCCAAGAACCTCGAGAAGGTGCCCGATTTCCCCGAAGATCAGAAGATCATCCGCCCTCTGTCCAACCCCATCAAGGAGACTGGCCACATCCAGATCCTTAAGGGATCCCTGGCTCCCGGTGGCAGTGTTGGTAAAATCACTGGCAAGGAGGGTACTTCTTTCACTGGTAAGGCACGAGTCTTCGATGATGAGGATGATTTCATCGCTGCTCTGGAGCGCGGGGAGATCAAGAAGGATGAGAAGACCGTTGTGGTTATCCGCTACACCGGACCCAAGGGTGGTCCTGGTATGCCCGGTACGTATTGAGAGTTCAAATTCAGATTCCCTTGGTTGACGTAGCTAACCATTCATCGTGGGATAGAAATGTTGAAGCCCTCTTCGGCCCTTATGGGCTATGGTCTCGGACAGTCGGTTGCCCTCATCACCGATGGACGTTTCTCTGGCGGTTCTCACGGCTTCCTGATCGGACATATTGTCCCTGAGGCTGCTGTTGGTGGACCCATTGGTCTCGTCAAGGATGGTGATGTCATCGTCATTGATGCTGAGAAGCGCGCCCTCGACCTTGAGGTTGACGAGGAGACTCTCGCCGAGAGACGCAAGCAGTGGGAAGCCGATAAGGAGGCCGGCAAGTTGCCTCCCACTGGTCTGACCATGAGAGGAACCCTCGGCAAGTACGCTAGGTATGTTATCTCTGCCCCATAGAATACATATGGTTTGATCTCAGTTACTAATACGCTGCAACAGGACCGTCAAGGATGCCAGCCACGGCTGTATCACCGATGCTCTTGACTAAGTGCCAAGCTGTCGGGTGTATTTTATCTTTACGCGGGATGCCATCGCAAAGCAATGCGTCCTGTCCCGCTTGAGTTGGATTGGGTGGAATAAATGTCCTGGTTAATATATTATTGTCTTTGTGCTGCTTGGATAGGCGAACCAAAAGGATTGAAAAGCATTTCCTTTGATTTCATGTTGTTATTAGGAGCATTCATTAACATGATACCTTACCAATTTCATTAATCGAGTTTCAACCGATCTCCCACTTAAGTAGGGGACAGCAGTAGAGCATTTTGAGTATGCAGCCCCTAGTCTTATCCTCTTATCATGAGGCAATGGCCGTGATTGAAGAACAAGATGAAAAAAGTATTTAACACCAAGCAAAAGAATCCGTGCGGGCTCAATTCTCAGAATAGTAGTAGCCCAATATCTGCTTTCGCTGCCCAGGGAATCCTGATCTCCCACTATAAGAACCGAGCGTGTGCAACAGAGATTAGCAATGAAATACTCACATTACTCTGGTATACAGGATACCACGACGATGAATCCAAAGTGTCTCTCCAGCTATTATTTATAGAGTCTTGATGCGACTCACGAATGGGTCTCGCCTGTTGCAGAAATGGAGGGGACCTTAAGCAGCATTTATATACTTAATGACTTGGGCGCAATGGTGAGTTGTCCATGAGGGTGACCATAAGACCGACCACTCATAGCTTGCCATTCTGAGATCTCTATCTTTGAAGGTAGCAATAACAATGTAGCTCAATTCGTGACATCCATCAATTCTATCATCTGTGCTTGCACTAATTGAATGTAGATGTGATTAAATTCCTTCCGCGGCGTTTGCATTTTCAAAAACAACACCTGTGGACAACACCAGGGCCTGCTTCATCATATTTCTCCTTAGACACCCAAAGATCTTGGAATGTAGAAAGTGCTGCTAGCATAGAACCCCCAATCCAGACTGAGTGCTTGCGCTCAGGGGGAGCTACAATCTTCACCTTCATATTTGATGGGCTGAGATGCATCAGTTCCTGGTGTAGTCGGTCCGCTATACCAGACAACATTGAAGTGCCTCCAGACTAGAAAACAGAGAGAGAAAAAGGCTTGTCAGTAAAGTAAATTAAAGACGAATTGTTCCATCCGTGTAGATGTCTT